AATGTGTGTTATTCGTTAATGTTCCGATTAATTCAGTTTGATTCTCGCACTACTTGCGCTCCATCCGTATAACAAGATTCGTGAAATTAATTACCGTATCAATAGAAACATTGATTGTTCTTGTATTAATCCAAGCTATTTTGTTTCAATGCTTTGATTTGAATGCCATCAAAGATTCGCCTGAGGTTCAACATTAATTTGCTTGACAGTTTTGAATGAAGAATCCGACTTTATTTAAAAGCAATGTCATGCATACGTAAGCATTAAAATGAATAATGAAAAGAAATGGTGTTTCTTCCATGATTTTGGTTTTCGATAATTCCAATTCGAAACGGCTGTTGCCAGTATTCACATACAAAAAATGTAATCACAACGTGTGGCTGTGAATGTGGTCAGAGAGCCGTCAACAAATGTCCGTCCGTATGTTGTGAACGTTGGCTATTGATACATTTGTTCCAAGTAAAATGCATCGTATTATGACGTCTGCTTATAAATGATATTTCTCCATTAAAATGTTACGAATATTTGAACAATATACATCAGTGACCAGGCATGAATAAATTCAAAATTTATAAAAACGAAAAATTCAGAAGATCATGGCCATTTGTATTCGTTGACAGCTCTGATAGCGAAAAAAAAAATAAGCAATCGTATTCAACGGTTTTCAAGTTTCTATCGAATAGAATTGCGAATTGAGCAAAATGTCAATACTTTCACATCACATCAGTCCAGCGGAGTAAGTAAAATACGAAATCAGTATCACAATTAATTCGTTGTTTTGAATTTTAGTTGATGTTGCGATATCGTTTTTGTATTTAACATTTGCCATTGGAAGATGCATGCCGCGTTTATATGTAAACTTGTAAGTGCAATAAAAATAAATAAGCCTTGAGGTCACGAATGCTATTTACATTGAATATCATTTTCATTTCCACGCCCGTCTCAACGACTTATCGTGACTTTGTACATAATTTAATGAACCTGTGTGAGAGCCAAGTGTGGATACTTCTGCATAAAATATAAATAATTTTCGATTCGTTTCAATTGGCATCCGTAAAAAGTTAAATGCTTTACTTTCAATGCAATGAACATTGAAAGCAATACTGGCTGCTGAATTTTGTTTCTCATTTTCCGTCTTTTCGGATCGTCCACAGATAATTTTTTTGTTTTAATAATTCACATGATCATAAATAAAAACGAATATGTTCGGCAGAAATTAAAAACAAAAATTACCATGAATCTGACATTTTGGCAAACGATATATGGACGCAATACAAGTATCATACAGATCGTTTCATCAAATTAAAATATGTATATGTGTTTTAAATATAAACGAATTTTGATCATACTGGAATTTTTCAGATACAAAACGATGAAGTGACATTTTGACATTGCTTTTGCAAAAACTAGACAAATACCAGAAACATTTACACCTTCATGTGTGGAAGGCATACGGTCAACACCAGCATTTGTGAGATAAATTCGCTGGAAAAATATTTTACACACAAGAATTTTTAGATGAGAATTGTAGCCATGGGTATTGACGCCAAAGATTAAAGGGTTTAAAATACAAAGGGGGCACCGGAAAAAATGCAGAGAGGGATTTTGGTTCCGTTAAAACCCTAAAAAATCGAATGAATGTAGTCACTAGTCAGGGATGACCGTTCTATGACCGCAGATGCGGTATTTCGAAGTTTTATCACAAAACAATGTACATTTCTACAAACAAAAGACGCTTTAGATGGCGCCTGTATGCAATGCATTTTCGTTATGCGTTGCGGCTGGGATAATTGTCGATTTTGTATTTATATGGTAATTGTGGTTAAAACAATTTTGCCGTCTGTCATTAAACCATCACAATCAAAGTATTAATTTATCGTTTGCTATTCAGAAAACCTTCGACAATGACTAGCAGTTCAACCTCTTTTGTACATATTTAAAAATGCCTTCGATTGAGTAAATCACTGTTTATAAAGTAATTGAATTGCAATGACGAAATGATGGCGATAAATTTATATATTTCGGACAATCCTGTTTCTCAAAATAAGATTTTTTTTTTTTTTTTCAAGAAAGAAGCTATCGAATTATTTTCACCATGTACATCCAGTTTGTTTGCGATGAATAAAAATCGAAACATATGTCGAATGCACACAATTCGCCACTTAATATAATACATTAAGAACAAAATGTTTTGAGACAGCATCTACATATATAATTGATTAAAGCGCACATGCTGAAAGACAAATATTTTTAAGTGGAAACAGCCAAAGTCCAAAAAAAAATGGTTTTCATTTTTTGACATTGTTCCATGTACAGTTGTACACAAAATATCAATTGTTAATGTTTTTTCAATTTCATTTAAATAAAGGGGAAGAACACATTTTAAAAGTGCGTAATATTTGCTCTTGAATAACTGGTTTAAAGAAATTTTGTATCCTTTCAACAAAAGGTTTTCGTCGTCATTTGCTTAGAATGTGATCATCTTCATAGTACCTTATTGTCTTTATATTAAAAAAAACCAGTTTTGCTTAATACTTTCTTCAAATTACAATTCTTCATATTTTAATGGCTCTCATATTCTGTGTGTGCACAGAATTGTGAAAGCAATGTGAACGCAAGCAGACGAAAGAAAATACGCGTTTAATGTAGACCTCTTTTTTTCAATCCACTAAACTGGTTACCGTTAACATCTTTTCTGTGATGTGTGCCTTGGATTTTCGTTTAAATGTGTATTTTTTCTTTAGTTCGTATCGTTATTTGGCCTATACTTGCAAATATGCAATGTAAAATCAATTGATTATAATTTTATGGTCATTCTTTTACATAATATTACCTTCGTGAAAACCATTTTGGATAGATTGAATAGCCGATACGATATTACCTCATCATCAACATATTTTATCATTACCTCTTCCAGTAAAAAGAAATGATCTTGTTCGCTTTGTCGCAGGTCTTTAGTGTATAGTCACAATGATTTTTCGAGACATATTTTTATCCAACACATTAATTGGTTTGATGTTTGCATTAATGTTCGTCCTAACAAGCATATCAATTCACGGAATTTACTTGAATTCTTTCATAATATATAAGTTAGTCACGGACGAACTGAGACAGACTTTCTATTAGGAACTCATTTTCATGCATTTCTGTCGACCAATTCAAAAGAAAAATCAACTTTTTTCTTTTCGTTAGAAATTTAAAGCGGGAAAAATATCTCATGATTAAAATGAATTGTATCCTAACTTATGCCACACGTGTCATTGCATGATATTAGATTGTTTGAAATCGTTATTACAAGAATTTAATCGCTGTAGAGATGTTTTGCCCGCATATCATCCGCAATGTCTAAAATATGTCATATAAACACATTAAGAATCGTCAAACTTTAACAAATTAGTTACATAAGATGCAATTGTGTTGATTTATTAATTGGTTGTATTAAGTAACAAGTTGTGCATGATTTACGACCAAATATTTTGGTAGTTGATAGATTGAAAGACAAGTTTGTAAAATGTATCATGTTTTTGTCTGGCGACGAGCATCAACATTGCGACAGTGTCTGCAACACAATGATTTAACATTAAAGACGTAAAACAAGTACTTTGTTGTATAAAAAAAATGTTGAGCCGACCCATAAGAATTTGCATAAGTCGGTTGCAGTGAATGTCAATGTTGAAAGTGAATGTTGAAATTGAATGTGTAATTTTTGACGAAATATATTGCAAAAAGTACCGCATATTCTATACTTTTACATGTTGTTCCTTTGAAATTACCTATTCTTGCTTTGATGGAATCACTTCACTTTAGTCACACATACAACAATTTTGTAGCCAAGAAAAAAAAGGGACACAAATAAAGAAACAGCAATATTGCATTCAATGACGACGACAAAAAAAAGATACAAAAGAAATAGGTTCTTTGCAGATTTTGCATGGCAGAGCGACAAACGAAAGATGTAAAAGAAAACAACAAGTAAAAGGACAAGTTAACAGAGGTGTAGAGATAGCGCCAAAGATATGTATAAGATCTCTGCGTAAAGAGAAGAGAAAAAAAGCATCAGATATGTGATCGGCATGTATCAATATAAGTTTCAATATCGCCCTTCATCGTCGGGGGTATCTTTTACATGTCACTTCAGAGTTCTATTGTCTAAATGTGCCTTTCACATGTTGCTATTTCTTTTTTATTTACTTTGCTATGGGATTTTTCCACATGCTTATGCTGCTATTGTTATCTAAAAATGGTGTTTTTCTTTCTGCACGGCATGGATGAAAATGCAAAATTTCGAATGGAAAGAAATTGTGCAACACACTAAATATGCAATAGTGACGAAACACGTTCACACATGTTGGTTATTCTTTTCAAAGTAACAAAATAAAAAGAAACGGACGAAAAAGCATATGCGTAATCGAGTAAATGGTTCATAAAGGATATGTTACTCAAACAGAAATATACTGCAAAATATAAACATAGAGTTTGCATTCTATTATCATAGTTTAAAATTTTTATTCAAAAATTTAATTTTCTGACAAAATGTCATCACCCCAAAAATAAGCGAACCATGTCCAAGAAATATTTAGAGATATGTGCAAATATACAATAGTTTTAAATATTTTGGCAAATGTTGATACATTTATTAAACGTATATTCTCTTTGATCAAATATGTTTAAAGCAGTAATGTGCGAAGGGGGAGGGTAGGGGGGGGGTTTACCCCCCCCTGTGATTTGGATGAGAAACATTTTTTCGCGAAAATTATTCGAATTTGCTAGGGTTTTTCACGAAAAAATTGAAGACCTTTTTTTTTTTTTTTTTTAGCTCTTCACTTTGTTTGGCTGAGAAAATTCTTTCGATTTGCTAGGGATTTTCGCCAAAAAAGTGAAGAGCAAAAAAAAAAAAAAAAAAACGAAATTAGTTGTTTAGATGAGAGAATTTTTAGTTTTTGAAAAATCACCCCCCCCCTGTAAAATGTAGCTCGCACATTACTGGTTTAAAGACTTACCTAAAATAGATGATTTCGCCTTCGCTGAGTTGCCTGCGCCAACCGGGAGCAACATTTGCACTGCTATTATTTAATGTTTGTTGTTTAACATTTAAAAAATGTTCGACATCAAGTCGTTGTACATAATTTGATTCTTGGCTAATAAACGAAGACCCAATTAAATTTGAACCATGTTGTTGTTGTTGTTCTGATTACAAAAAGAGATGTTGATGAAAAGATTTATAAAGCGACCTTAATAATGGCAATTATTTAATAATATCTCTTAACTCACCGGAATGATATTGATGTAAGTGTGATGACGATGATGCGATTGCTCCAGACAAAAAGCCGGTTTCTATTGCACCAGCGCTAGCCGCAGCCATTTAGTTTTGTTATATTAGCCGCGCTGTATGTCTGCAATATGAAACATATGATTAATATTCATCAAAATAAATTCTTTTTTTTTACTTTTGATTATGGTCAATGTAATTGCTCAGACTTGAATAAATGACAGAAATTAATTCATATGCACCATATAAATTGGGGAAAATGATTGATACGTATGATAGAAATGTAATTAGTTAATGTTACCTCATAAAGACCCATTAAATCTAGATTTCTACCCTACTCGGCCAATGTGGCGAACTTAGCGGGAGAAGGGGTCCGAAATGTGAAAAGCAAGAAATTTCTTCACTTTCGAAAACTCATTCCATCTTAGGTAAACCCACCATCATGAGTACCTGTGTATTTACGTTGGCAGTGAAAGGTACATTCGAGAATGCGTCACCTAGAGTCACGTTTGCATGAATATTGTTGCACATTTGAATGACCAACTTCACATCCTAAAATAATGTATGTCTTAACGTCACTAGGAACTTAGTCAATTTGACTTCTCTCGATCATGATGGTTGGGTAAACCTATGTTTCAGAGAAACGGAAGAGATCTCCATTTACGCCAATGTAAAAAACGACATGTTTTTCGAAAAAAAAATTATACGGCCTTCATTTCTAGATATTTGACTCGCAATTTTGAGTTTTTGCAGTCTTATGTAGTAAACATTATCGAAAAATTTGCTCTACTTCAATTAAATGTGTTTCGTTTTTTCTCTTTTACTACATTTGTTTTATTCCATATGGTGGTTTTGAATAACTACTGAAAAAATAATGAATTTGCTTATTTTCAACGAATTTATGCATATTTGTATAATATTTGTAGGGTCTTCATGTAAAATATTCAGAAAAAATATACTTATTATTCAAACTAGATTTAAGTATCCGCTATGACCGTTCACACACACAAAATATAAGTGAAGCAATGAGGTGAAATTCATTAAAATTCATTATAAATTCTATCAAATGAACATCAACTGAATTGTATCAGCGACAGATGTCTTCATTTCTATCTGGCCGTACAATTGTACGCTCAGTTGGTTTCTCGCCGATAAAAGAAATTGTTAATGGGGAATGAGGTGAACATATTTTCGAATATATAACTTTCATAACACACGCATTTTTATTTGTAACAATTAATGCATTTTTTTTAGAATACTAGTTTAGTCCATGCAGTGTTCACATTTCTATACACATACAATGTGCAAGTAAACCTCGCACAGCCGGCTGAATACTTATTTACAAATTTCTTTCGACATAAGTAACGAATAACCGAGCAAATTTGTCTGAATTGAAAAACAATGAAAATGAAATACTTCAGATTTGTTCGTGAAAGAGAGGTTTTGTTAGAACATACCGACAAAAACAAAAAACAGAGAGAAAAGTATGAAAAGTTTAGTGTATTATTGTTACATGTGAACGAAGTCAAAACTCTTGCGTCTTTCTCTCATTTGGTCGGTTGTTTTTATCGCAAAAATGTTTTAAAAATGATTTTATATCAACTTGATTTTCATGTATGGCCCCATTGAAAATTGTTAAAACATCAAACAAATGTATTGTGTCTTAAATATACATCAAAGAATTTCAACGTTTCGCAATATTACTCAAACTATCAGAACATTTTATTGAAACAAAGCATGAATGATGAAAAGCCAAAACTTGAAGCGCAACCTTTTTGAAATGGATATCATTTGATTGTGGTGAACATTATCCCTTTGATATGTTTGATATGTGGACAATAAAGTTCAATACAAATTCATAAAATTGGTTGAAAAACTATTAAATTCCATATGTTTTTATCATTGTAGTAGAGGATACAAGTGCAACTTTGCTTTCGTTACTCCTACAGAGTTTTGATGTGAGTTTTATTACGAAATGTATGTATTATACTTTGAATGTGTATAGAATGCATGAAATAGATATTCGATTAAAGGATCAATACTATCTAAAAAGAGACAACGATAGACAAGTTAGATATTTTGGATATTTAAGGACATACAGGTGAATATATATTATTATTCAAAATTTCTTGAAAAAATTGAATTTGTTGAATGTCCATTTTTAAATAATTCCAACTATGTTTGGAAAATGCTAGGACGATAGTCAATATTGAAAAAATCTCGTACAAAACTCATTCAAATAGTAACATAATAATTTTGTACAAGGGCACAAATGACCCAAAAAAATCCTGATTGCATTCTATCTCAATGACATACAGAGTATTGATGACACTTTTGCTTCTGTTTCTTTTCTCTTGTTTTCATTCATGTGATTTGGTTTTACACACAAAGAGAGCAGTTCACATTGTATGTGTAAAAAAACACTGCTACAAAAGCGAATATGCAAAAGAGATATCCAGTTTTACGATGATACGAAAAAAAACCCCGCCAATAATGAAGAATATCTTTAGAAAGAGACACACGTATACTCCAACTCCAACCATACTAAAAAATTTGAATTAGGGCATTCGAAAACCAACCACAAAAGAATCAATAAAAAAAAGAATGCCTGCACTCAATACCCAATAAAGAAAAGACTAACTTTATGATAATAAGTAAATAAATCAATAAAAAAATGAACAAATAAAACACAGAGTAGTAGTAAAAGGAGGAAAAAAACATTGAGCATGTGCTCAGTTTTAAAAATGTGTGAATTTTAACACAAAGATGTGCGACTAGATCAGATTGCACAGGATCGTGTGTGTGTGTGTGTGTGTGTGTGTGTGTGAGTATATGGTAGAAACCAAGAAAACATCATAAAATAATATGTTCTTCTGTTTGGTTATCTGTTTTGTTTTGTTCCTTATTCCTTCTTATTTTTTTATTATTCTCATATATTTGGATATGTCACTATGTTAAAATTTACATCTGATTCAATGAAAACAATGTAATCGACACGGTGGAATCTCTGACACATTTAATTGCAACTAATTTTATTAAATGAATTTGAAATATTGGCCGAAGGTCGAATGTCATCTTACCTGATTGTGCTGGCTAATCGACATATCCTCTATAATATTTCGTTCAATCCCATATATACATCATTATCTATATGAATCGTTGGTTCGCAACCACTTTAACTGATCCACTATATTTTCTCTGATACAACAAAATATTTAATTTTTTCTCTCTTTCTTAAAATCACCATTGGCTTTGTTTTTATTTTGTCTCATGGCTCATTCTCCGCTAAAATTCCATATTATTTTGAAAAATAAATAAAAATTAATTTCGCAACACTTTTACACGTGCATACACATATACAATTTGGTCAACGGCAATAATTATTTTATTAGATAAAACGTTGGTTCATTTGTCGCCGTTTACGCAAAACTGCAATCCAATTCAAAATAGATTATTTGCAAAATTGAACATTTCACACCGAACAATATGACGAGCAATTGGAAATAAACAGTGATTGTTGCACTTGGACGATAATCACTTCAATTTTCTTTGCACAATTTCATTTAGTCGAATTTATTTGAAACATTGAATTTTTACTGCGACTGACAGACTCGGAGGTTAGACGATAAATCGCAACCAATATTACCAATCAATTTTATAGTTCATAGTAGAAATTATGCTCTTTTTTTGGTTGCACCCATTCTTCACTCGAAATGTTTATTTATTTCAAGTCACCGCCAAAACTGAACGCAGTTTGATCAATTTTATTCACTAATTATGAATATTTTGTTTACAAAACATGACACCATTTTATATACAATGGAATTCAATATAGTTGACTTTTGATTGAGATAAATTAATATCTTTTTGACGGTACAATGCTCAAAACAAATGGCAATTCGATGAGCAATCGAATTTCAATTTCCGTCGTGTTGTTTAGTGAATTTGATTTATTTGCCAGTTTTCATGTACCAATTTGGCCAACACTTTTATGTAAATTTCTGAATTTAAATCTCAGTTTTTTTTGCTTGAATTTTCTCTGTCTCACTTTCTCATAAATATTTTGCACTTTTTTTTATACTGAATGTGCAATTGGTCGTTTCTTTAGTAGGTTAGATATTAAATAATTGATTTCTTCTTCGATTTGCGTACACCACATACGTTAATTAGCTTAAATCTCGTACTTTTTTTTATGGAAAAACAATCAAAACTAAAACAATTTCATCAATTTTCTCTCACTTTTGATTTTTTTTTAAATACACATATACTATTTTTTCTCATCATTCAACAAGGCAAAACTAAACATACAACTACACACTCAACAGCCAAATCTTTTTTAGGTTTTTTTTTATCTAAAAATTGATGGATTTATTTGTGTTTCAGTGCAGAATGAAAAGCAACACACCAGCACAAAAAATCATCACAAATAAAAAAAAAATGTTCGACTTTAAGTGTGTTGTTTCGTTGCTCTGTTCAGTTTTCTTTTCTGTAGTACTTTTATGTTATTTGACTACACACACCATGTATATGTTTTTCTTCTTCACTGTTGTGAATGTACCAAGTGACTGGCTTGCCTATGTGTATTGCCAATATTCAGTGTGTATGTTCAACAAATTCACTCACTCACTCTCTCTCTCTCTCTCTCTCTCTCTCTCTCTCTCTCGCTGCTCAGTGCCATTGTATATTTACAATGTTCACAAGAGAAAATCATTCAATGTGTATTGTGTGTATTTTTTTTCTTCTCAATAACGCGCAATGACCATAGTCTATGAGACTTTGACATCAGGCAACACAATGATTCGCTGCCAGCTACGCTCATTGGAAATGCATACATTGATAAATAAAATTGATTTGATTTTAATATTCCAACATCTAAACGATCCAGATTGCATTTTTTTTATACGCAAAGTATTGTGCACAAAAGCAATAATTAATTTCGGTGAAGTTCAACTATTGGCATGACCATGAAATGAGTTAATTTTTCCAATCATGCAATTGAGCCGATTGCATAATAATTTCAACAAATAAAATAAATCAAATATGAATTTGGTTTTTCTCTTCTTTATTTGCTAAAACAGTGGTACCATTGTGTGCAATCGACTACAAACTGTAGCAATGTTAGATGGCATTGAATTGTAATTACTATTATCAAAATATTTGCTGTCAATATGAAAAAAAAAATGAAGACAGTCAAAATGGTGTAGCCATTGTTGTGCAGCTTCCATTATATTAGTGTATCGAAATAAAAAATAAATAAATGTCAAACTAGACAATTTCATCCAATATATGTGAATCGTTTACGTACTAGATCTTACGAGATGCGCGAATCATGTGTTTGTTTATTTGACAATTTCAAACATTTGACAATTTTCTCATTTTATTTCGAATTTGTTTTCATCATTTTTCTCTCGATAAACATATTGATTTCAGGAAAAAAAAAATTAATCTCAAACTGCACAAAATAAGAAAATAAAAAAGAAATGTTAGTCTGGCCAATGTCTTGAATAGTAATTTGAAACGTCTGAAGAAAAATTGATTCTTCATTGATTTTTTTTTTTTTTTGTAAATTGCGCCTTTTTTTATTACTATAATGCGCCGTTCAATATATCCATATACATATATAGAAGCTTGCGAGCTATTTTATATGTTGATTATATGACAAGCAAATGTGATTTTTGTGTGAATGAATCGAAATGACTAGAAAAATCGAATTGAGCGATGTATGACGCACACAATTCAATCATCGTCATTCTATTTAATATTTGATGTCGATGGCATTTGCTCGAGAGTTTCAAGGTTGATATCTGTAAAAAATGAGGAAACAACAATCAAAGAAACTCAAATTCGTCTTATTAATGACGCAAAAACAAATGTCTACGAAATACATGCTTATTTTCAGTTTTGACCATATATTTTTTTATTGGAGAAGAGAGACAATGAGAATAAATTAAATTAATATATTACTGCGACGTCATCGCAAACCAAAACGTAAATACAGAATTACATGTAAAAATGTTCAAAGGGCTGAATCTGTTATCAGTTTCCAAGAAACTTGCGAAATGAGAAAAACCGATACATGAATTGTTCTCAATTGAGTCAGTAAAAAAAAGGTACTACTCATATTTGGATCGAAATAAAAAAGAAATGCTCATATTCCGAGAATTTGTTTTTACGACGAAGGAATTCACGAGAATTGTCATTAAAATTGTACGCATTCCGAATGATTATACATTTTTGATATTGAATTTTGTTTGTTTACGACTGAATAATTCACGTGAATACATTTTTATATCGATTTAAATGCATTGATAACAGTAGTTAGACATCGGAGTGTGTATGCATTTTTGTTTTCTTAGATCAATAAGCACATTATCCATTTCATATTGCATTGGGTGTATTTCAGATGTAAGACAAACGGTATACCGTTTTGTACATGTAATATTTTAAGTATGAGATATTTTATATGCTTGGAAATCCAGAAATTAACAGATTGCTGGTTAGAAGGGTTGTCGATTTATTTTTGTTTTAACTTAAAAATGAGACGATAATTTTTGAACTAATTTAACTAGTTGTACACTGTTGAACTCTGGGTCCTTGGTGATAACCATCGTCATCATCTTCATATGCTTGCCGTGAATAACGCTGATTTCGTGCATCTTGTTCTGGATCAAAGTCAATCTGTACGGATTTCGAAAGAAGAAAAAAAGAAAATGTTTCAATTCATTGATTTTTTTCATGTGAAAATCACAAACATACCATATTGCATTCTTCAGCGTCAATTGGTATGTCAACTCGTGGTCGTGGTGGCAGGCATTTTTCCAAATCGGCAACAATTGTTTGTGGTATTTTTTCGGGGAATACAATTTGGAATTGAACAATAAGACGTCCTTTTTCAAATGGATTCTTATACTGTGGCATACCTTCACCCAAAATTGATTTGAATGAATCATGTTTCACGACCTCACCCGGTAAATTGGTTACAACCAAATCTCGATTGTCTAATGTTTTGATAACCTTTTGAAAACCACATAGTGATTCAACCAATTGTAATGGCATACGCATTACTAAATCTTGTTTTGATCGTTTGAAAAGTGCATGCTCAATTTCTTCGAGAACAATGACAATGTCACCGGGTTGTAAGTCTGGCTCTTGATCACCTTCACCGCTGAACGTTATTTTCTGTCCATCTCGCATACCTTTTTCAATGTGTACCTCAAGAATTTTACGATCACGAACCGTTTTCTTGCCATTACATGTCTTACACCGATCTTTAGCGGCAATTATTTCACCTTGTCCATGACAATGGCTGCACACTTGTTCGATTTGCTGTGCCATACCCGGTCCAATCATATGAATTTTCACTTCAATACCATTACCACGACAAGTCTGACACTTTTCGACTGCACCCTTTTTACCGCCACGTCCTTCGCATTTATCACATATAATGCTCTTTTGCAATGCCAATTTGCGAACGGCCCCATTGTATAACTCTTCCAATGTTACACCCAATTGATGAACCAAATCTTTGCCACGGCGTTCACGTCGTCTGATGAAATTTATTAAACAGAATAGATTTCGATCAATATTCGTCATTAGTTTCAATTCAACTGATGATATATGCATCAATTTAACGGCGGAATACAAAAACATAGACAATCAATATTATCTTACCTGCCAGATGAGAAGTTGCCACCAAAGAACATATCGAAAATGTCCATGGGGCTAGAGAAGCCACCGCCGCCTCCACCGCCCTTTTTGATTGCAGACTCACCACCTTCATCATAAATTTGACGTTTTTCTGCATCAGCAAGAACTTCATAGGCTTGCGAAATTTGTTTGAATTTCTCTCCTTCATTTGGATTCTTATCGGGGCTATAAAATGTAAAACGTACATGAAAAAAAAACTGATTTGCATGCAAACCATATAGATATGTACTTACTGGTATTGAAGGGCAAGCTTACGGTATGCCTTTTTGAGATCTTCTGGTGAAGCATTTGGTTTTACACCAAGAATATCATAATATGCTGTCTCTCGAACCATATTTTATGTGTTCACAAAGGCCTACAGAAAATACCAAATATTTAATATATTGACAAAATCATCACAAAAAGTGTTGCTTCATGCAGTTACAACAAAAACATTATTGTGTTTTAAAGATAAATGTAATTTAGCAAAGAGAAAACAGTGTTGAATTTTTTTTTTCACAAAATGGCGTAGACCCAGTTATAAATTTTTCTCGCTAATTAGATGCCGTTTTTTTTTCATTTGATGTTCTTTTTTTCAATGGTCATTCACATAAAACCAACAATTTTTCATCTATTTGCCTCGAATTAAATGCCAAACAGACGAAATCCATACAATATTCTACAATAATTACAAAGCACGTTTTTTTTTATTTTCCTCTCATGTCTACAAAAATCACCTTTTCTTTTGTAAAAAAATTGTAATATTCTTTTGACTTAATATTGAATTAACTTAAAAATTTTTTTTATTTATATTGGTCTGCTGCTTGCGATTTAATCGTGTCCGCTTGAAAAATGTGATTGAACGAATGGTGTAATATACCTTTTCGTTTAGTTGAATCGAAATTTATTCCCGAAGATTCTAGAAAAAGTCTTCGAAATACACACAAGCACAAAGGCACAACCGTAAAGCTCACACTTCAATAAAGAAAGAGTGAACACTGTACTTTACATCTGACAGTACGCTAATCGATCATCGAATAGACGAGAACGATTGGCGCCACTGTCGCCACACCATGACACATACAAACAAACTATACGATTTTTATCCATTTTTAGCATTTTGTTATCGATTTTTTTTCAATAAATGGGATGTTTTATAAATTTTTATGATTAATTTGGAAAACAAAATTAGTTTTGACTATAACATATAGGTTTTTAACTTTCAATTGAATTTTATTTTCTTCGTTTTTTTTTTCTATCGTTGAACTTTTTAAGCTTCTACCAACAAGTAACGCCATCTCTTGGATACCGTTTCAAATGTGCATCAATCCAAGAACTCAAAGATTTGACTTTCTTCGCCTAACATCATATCAAATAAATAACATTATGATATACATAAAAAATGATATAAGACCAAAACAGTTGATTTTCCCGAATTTTTTTGGAAATATTGAATTATACTACATCTGAAATGAATAGTTTCTGCAAAATTAATTTATTATAAAATTTGCAAAAGTCAGTTTATATTCAATAAAATTGAAAATGTCTAATGATTTTTCATTTTTACATATTGTTCAAACCATTATCAAAGCTTTTGATAGAGAATATTAGTTTAAAAAAAGGACAACATAGATTTATGAATGCTATGACTTAACATTGTATGGAAAATGAAAGCTTTAACTGGCACACACAATGCCGTCATCATGAACGGCATGCTATCCACAGTTGGAAAATTATTTGTGCGAAGAATTTTCCACATTGATGACAAAACGAGTTTTGCTTTCAAAGTGAACGGAAGCTTCCATCCAGATGCGTTATTTATTTACTTTAGTATTCGTCGACTGTAAAAAAGTAGAATCCGTTTTTGACTTGTGTAGTAAACATTCGCCAATCCCATAACATAACTTGTTCACACTGAAACGTTGTTACATACGTATAGTGTACATTGTACAGCCATCAATTCAAATTCGGCTTAATTAAAAATCAATGTGAAAAAAGTAAGTTAATTTGATTAAATTATCTAAATTTTTGTTTTTTAAGTTTCTCTTCAATCGAACAAAATTGGACATGCAGTTAAAATGTTAACGGAAAATCATTTGTGCAAAAGATCAATCATTCAAAATAATTATTTGTCAATATTAATCAATATATAAGTTGAAACATTTTCATTCGAATTGTGATATAGATTTCAAAGAAACTGCGTTTCACTGACTTGTGGACCGATTTTAAATTTGAATAAAATCGTCATAATATTTATTTATTGATTTAATTTGATTAAATGTAATGCGACTAAAAGGTCAGAGACAATGGATATGGTTTGTGAATGCATTATGTCCAAGTGACATTGGTGTGAACATAATAAGGGAGACGAACAGTAATCTATTGAATAAATGAAAAAGTACATCTATTTACATAAAAATGTGCCTGTGAAAATATTATCGATGGAAATGTGCGTTGAGCCGAAGTAAAACAGAGAAAATTACCGCCTATGAATAAGAGTTTCGTTTTTATTTACGTTCTATTAGCCGATGAGTGATTTGATTTTTGATTGTTCCATTTCGCCGAATTCAAACGCTTTAATGACATATACGATTCTTATTCTGCATCTTATCAATTGACTCACATTATAAATTTTACATGGCATAAGCATAGAGGAAAATATCAATGTCTATTAGATTACGACCCCAACGATTGAAATAATTAATGTAATCATAAATATCGATTTTTGGCTACATAATTGAATTAAAATTAGGGATTTTGTCAAATAATCATGGATCACTTTTCGAATTCGAATACATGTACGTCGCAACAATTGTTTATGTCTGAAGAAAATTGAAGCGTTCATCAATTCAATTGAAAATTGACAAAAACATGTTCCACGATTTCGCCTCCATAAACATTCTCCGCAGCAAATAATTTGATTATTGAACATAAAGGCGGAACGTGTTTTCAGTGCGTTTAAATGGTATTCTTTTGAAATAATAATGATGAAGGTTCTATTGGATCCGAACAAAATTTCTTTCAACTTTCCATTTCATTTAGCGTAATTTTCATTTATGTGGTTTCCTTCAATTCAAAATTTAAATATTATAAAGTGGTTTCTGTGTTGAGGTCAACCAAACCGAAATTCCATGAAAAATACCACATAAAATGTTTTTGTGCGATCCATCAGTACGCTTCAATCGTGGCAAAAAGCAAATTAGCTTATGTTGCGACACACACATTTTTGTATTTGTATTTATTTTGAATTCAACATTAGCACCAACCAAAATTGGAAAAATATTTATTTATTTAAATTTGCTTAGATCTCTTTTACGAAAACAAACAAAAAAACAAAATACATAAATCGGAAAATGAATATAACTTACTGAGGGTGGTTTTGATTTTGATTTTAACAAAAAATGATGCCCAAAAATTCGAGATAAAACAAAGCATTCTTTGACCTACAAATTTTATGAGATAAACCGATTGTTTTGCTTCGTACTTAAATAGTAAGTAGTTTATAGTAAAATGAATCGAATCAAAGTAAAAATATTGTCACACGAATTGACAAAAGCAAACTTTGACATATATAATCAACCATTTTTTGAATTGTACTGTAGAAACCAAAATCAAGCTTAGAAAGGATACGTTTATCGTTAAAATAAAATATTCAATACATTCATACATCGTTTGAGCACAATTTTTAGATGTGATAAACCAAACCAATTTCATTTCTCAATACTTGAAATTGATAGTATTTTTCTCATTTTTTTTTATATCCTCCGTGCCAAACGGTTTATTGCCGTTTGTTATGACTGATCATAAATTGTGAGTGAACAATTATTTTTTTAAAAAGAATTTAATAGCCATCTTAGACCAATTCATGCGTGAATTTAAAAGGAATTCTTAATTCAAAGAAGTATACACAACCAAACTTCGAAATAAATAACTGGCATTGTGCAGTCTGCACAAACTGTGTCACACGCTTGCTTAAATAAATAAGATATAAAAACAAGCTCAATTTTTTTTTTTCAAGTATTTGGATAGAAATAATTCTTCGGAATCAATCAATCACTTGTTAGCACGACGTTACTAATTAGCTTTGAGCACCAAAGTGCACGCAATCATACTGTATTGAAGGCGCAATTCTCAATAATGATAACTTAATGATCTAGTTGAAAATAAAAAAAAAAACAATACTAATCGCGTGTTCATGCGTATCTTAGATGAAATAGAGAAAAATCTTCATGCCGTAATTGTTATGCGTAAATACAGTTTTTTGGCCAATTATACTAAACTAAACGAATGATCGGTGGTATATATTTTATACATATTTAGCAATAACCGCGAAAGATTTTTACAGCGCGATAAATTCATACATTTCGCCAATTGAATTTAAAGAATGGCACTTATTATTTAATTAGTTTGATTTTCATCTCCGATTTTTTGGACGACATAAATGGAAAACAATATGCTGAATACGTCGAAGAATTTTTAGTGAAAGCAGTGAAACAGCTGGACGAAAAATGTGAAAATCATTCATTGCGTAGTAAATTGTGAGATATAATAGAAAAACGAAACGGTTTATACGAGGAAGCCAGAGAAATGAAACAACATGCATTGCTACGTGTCCTCTAAAACTTTAACTTTTGCCATAATTTGTTTTGAACTTTTTCTTTTTCATTTTTTTTTCTTCTCTCTCTCTCGAAAGTTGTTAAACTTTTCCGATCGTAAAACTGTGACATAGAATTCACTATGTGTTATGGTACATTTGAGCTTAATAACTGATAACTGACACAATTTCTTGTTGTGTTTCTCTTTTTTTTCATCCTCACTTTATTGTTATACGGTGTTGTTTTTTTTCTTCTTTTTGATAGTTTGTCGAAGATGCAAGTGATGCGACGTATTTCGTTTGGAATGCTGATATGTACATGCCTTATCGGCTACAGCCAAGCAGCTTCACTTTCACTTTTAATGCCAGCATCAAGCAGACTTTCAGCCAACAGACATCATTCCCTTTCCACTGATACCATATCTTCAAGTAAGTATTTAACCAAAAAAAAAGAGTAGTAGCCACCGACACTGGATACATTGCCAAGGGTTATTCATTTGAGCGGAATGATATTGTTTGGTCTATACAAAGTTTATTTTTTCATTTTCCAACTGACCGCATGCATTGAAAAACAATTAAAAGTTCTCAACATCTTGAATTACCCGCGTTTTTTTGTTCATCAAACGAATAGTCTCTAGAATGTACAAAAAAAAATTAAAAAATATTTTCATTATAACTCGGTGCGTCTCTAGTTTAGTGTTGTCTTAACCAGTGACTGTGTCAGCGGTACATAAATTCCGTCTGCAAATTTGACACTTAATTAAATGTTATCCATGAAATGGGAAACCGTTGTTTTTTTTTCAATTCATAGATTGAAGTGTTTTATTAGGTTCGTTCAATTAATTTACCATTAATTTGGAGATGAATCAATTTGTGATTCATAGCCTTTTCGTTGAAATTTGGATTATTATTTTTCTTCATCCGAAGAACAAAGAGAACGATGCATCAAATCAAATGAAATCAGCTTTGACCTCTTGAATTCTGGTATATTTTCATCAAAATAAAAAGGTCACGAATAATGCCATGCGTTAAGAAGGATGATATGATATTAGGTTAAAAGGCAAATAGAGAAGCAACCAGCTATATCTTTAGCCATTAGCAAACCGAAACCATGACAATTGTCGATATTATCTCACACTGTCACTGTGAAATCGAATGGGATATTTTGTATCTACTTTTCATCGTCCATTCTCTCTCATATCGCAATGTTCGACACAATTTTCGATTTTTTTTTTACATTTTGCTAGTATATATTCACTTTTGTATTTGCTAGGATTTTACATTAAATTCCGAATCCGGCGAATGATGGGTACATCGTAGTAAAAATTCAGACAGAGAAAAAAAAAACATAACATAAATACATAGAAAACTCGTCAAATGGTAACCCATCATCTTTTTTGATATTAGAGCTGGATAATGGCTGAGAGAGCTTGACAAGAAATGTTTACACAAAAAAAACTGTCCATACTTGTGCCACTCACTGTTTATTCAATCCAATCTTTCTCTTCATCCTCTACGCGATTTTATAGTGGCAATGATTTTTTTTCCATTTCTTTTTCGTCATATTCATCTTGAGCCATACATATAGTGGGATAGTGGAAAATCAAATTGCTTTAATTCACTACTAGTGGAGATAATATGTATCCAACTTTGTGTTGGTTCTTCATGTGTAATCTCTATTATTTTCGTTTAATCTACAAAAATCTCTGACATTTCTAAGAGCTTATCTTAAGTTGTTGAGTGTACTGTAGCAATGTCGCCCCATAATTCATATCCATATTAAGGACAACAGTTATTGCAAGCTCAGCTTCGAAGCAATTTTTTTTTAAACTCGGCGTTTTTTTTGTTTGAATTGAATAAACTGATTTGACGCTCGCTGATTTGATTTGCAAGAAGGTATTCAAGTGTACTCTAAGGATTCTACAATGTCAAACCACTCATTTGAACGTGTTTCATTCAATGCGATATTCAAAAGATGTGCTGTATGGAAATTTATTTTTAAAAAATTATACGAAATATCATATTCAACTTTGAAAAAATCACCAAAATCATAATGTGTTTTTATTTCATGGATGACGCTGTTCTTAGTGTTTTTATGACTAGTAGCTGGTTGCATTTAAAATACATTCTCTGTTGTAAATATCTATAATTCAACATAATTTATTTGATTTGTGGATTTTTATTGCCTCTTTATAACTGCCGGAAAAATGAAAATGAATGTTTGTCGCCTGCAATTGTGTTATATGAAAAGAAAAGAAAAAACTATTTAAATATTAAATTATCATTTTACACTAATGAATATGCGGCATGCGAAATACAGAAAATCCCATTCCTGTTCATTTGCATAAGTCTGGCCGCTTGAATTTTCACTTACATAAATTCAAATGAAATTTATAAATGTCTCGATGAGTGTTTTCCGCCACTTACACAAGAAGCTTTTCATTAAATGAAATCCATTTAAACGTTTACATAGAGTATGTTATTATAAATAATGTTCATAAAAATTGAAAGAGATAGAGCGAAAGAAAAACGGTCTCGCATTTCATCATTCTTTGACAGCATGGCAAAATATCAAAATACGTGATTTAATTATGTTTCGTCGTGATTTATAGCCACCATATTAAAGTTAATGAATTGCATTTTGCATTGTCATTAAATATACAATTGATATCAATAAAGAAAAAATATTCGATTCATTTCGGTTTGGAAATGTTGAAACTTTTCTTTGGATCAAAACTCAAATTCAACTGAAACTAGTCGAGTTTTCGAGTTAAATTCATTCAATAAACGAAAATTTATTACCAAAAAATAGCTAAATCGGAGGCCAGGGCAAATTATGCCAATCACCCAGATTTAAGTCACGATTAAGCCATGATGTATTCCATGTTCAGTCCATTGTGATTAGTGCACTAATTTGCGACCGACATTGACTTTGTTGATATAAGAGATATAAAGACAATATGAAGAAGAAGAAGAAAAAAATAGCCAACATCCGTAAATAATTATCCGTATCCGTTCTGAATTTTATATATACGAATATCCAAACTGTCTGTACTATCCAAATGCCGTTTGTTGCAGACAAATCATATAAAAATGAAACGCAAATCAAACATTCGTACTGTGACCCATATACATATCAGCTAAAGCTGTTACATGAGAAAGCTTTGAAATTGTCAACATATTTGTATTAAAGAATTTGTGTGCTTGGCGTTTTGTATATAAGAATATAGTTCTCGTCGTTTTGCAATCCTTTCACTTTATTTTATATATATTAGACGCTCAATTATAATGAATAAATTTAAATATTTACAAATGCCAGATCCAATTTCAGGTGAACATTTTTGATGAGAAATTTTAAATGAGATATATCTGTTCAAAAGCTACGGTGATATATTTGCTGAAGTCTATAGTTTTATTATCCACAATTTCTGTCAAAATACATAAAATAACAAATAAAACACACCCCTCCAGAATAAATCATAAATCCGCTAATATCAGTCTGTCGAGGTAGAAGTATCAAATCATTATTTGGAGGCAAAATATCAGACAGCGCCATTATATTTCTGCATGTTAACAATTGTTTTTCTTGTGTAACAAGGTAATACAATAGACACGCGCATATTTTGACGAACTAAAGCAATATGTTTCCAATAAGATGAGTTCTATTGAATCAAAATTCAAAATCATACGATCCAAAACATTCTATAAAATATTGAGCTTTGAAATATTTCGAACAATTCTCTGCACGAAAGAAAGAACGCAATTGCTTTTATTGACCATTTTCCAGAGCCCATTCAAGTTAAATAAAAAACAAATTTACGCATAATAAGAGTGTATGCCACATGTTTATCACACATAGAAAAGCGTAATTACATTGATGAATCGATTAAGTTGCAAATCATTTGTCATCCGAATGTGCAAACTGATAATCAAATATTAAAAATGAAATAAATTATGGAAATTTACAAGCAAACATCAATGCATATATCATTTTGTGTATGTTGGGAATATTTTTTTATTGAAGCCAGAGCAAACAAATTACCTACTAAATCATGGTGTTGTCAGTTACAATATGAGTGATTCGTCAAATCCAATATACAATATGAAAGGCAAAATGATGTGTGATTTGCGATTAAACAAAATCTATGGCCATTACATATGGATGTTAGAAACACCAAAATGGCTTTATTGATTTTTTATATAGAAGAAATATTCAATCGACTCAACTCACATTGAAGCGATGAAATAATATCATTATTATTCTTAATATTATTGTTTTATCACTTCTTGAAACTAAGTTCGTGTCTGCGGAACAAAAAAGATGAAGCGTTTGATGTTCATTGCTTGAGCTTTTCTGTCAATAATTGGTATTCATTGTTTATATTTGAATAATGAAATTGAAAAAAAAAATTCCGAAAATCTTATTAGAGTTGTGGATTTAAAAAAACAAATGCGATTATCTGCAACCGGTAGGGGCAAGAGTTCTATCATAAGAGTAAATAATATCCATGTAATAAAGTGAGTGTGCATCAAATGTGAATTTAGTTTTTAAAAGTGCACAAAATTAAGATTTGAAACATATTCGTGCGAAGCGCGACTTGACAAAAACCTCTTTTTGCTCTTTTGGCAAATTATATCGTTTCTCTTAATTTTTCTTTTGCTTAATATGAGAATGTTCCATTTAATATAGTCACGAGTACAATATATATGAAATAAATTACCACCGAAGCGCAAAAAATAAGAAACAAATATATGGGGAAATTTGAAAAGTAAACACTGCTAGCGAGAATTGAAAACAACAACTATTCGTAAACCGAGACTATTACAGCTTGTAATTTGGTTGATTTATTATAGTCTTGTTAATGCTGCAGTATATATTGTTTGGATTTTATTTTCTTTGATATTTATTTTTTTTTCTTGTCGCCCTTCGCCTATATACTCTAAAAGCCTTAACCAGTAAAGATCAAGTTGGCTGCAGTTTCATACTATTAAAATCATAAGACTGGAAAACTGGAATTTTGTAGAGAAAAAGCGAAGAGCAAAAAGAGATTGCCTCACGCCACTTTGGCTTTGAGCTCACAGTTGACGCACTGGCAATAGGACTAAGTGATGAGCCAACAATGAAGAATGCTTTTTTTGTCGCTTCTTTTCTCTTTGCGCTGAAATTGCGGAGTGCATTCGTTTCGTTTGGCAATGTGATGAACGTTTTTTCTGTGATACTATGCAGACTTCTACTTCTGTGTACTCGGCAAACAATGCATAAGATGATTCATTGGTGCAGCCAGCAACACAATCTAGTAACAATAGTCGACAATTCTATACATGCAGTCGGGCAAACTGAACATTTTTTTCTTCTTCTTGAGCTGCACATGAGAACAGTCCAATTCGATAAATGCAAAAATAGAAAACTGAACAATAATAAAATGAGAAAAAAAAAAGACAAGAGAAAAGAAAAATGAACAGAGATATTCCACAAACTAGATACTACAACATTTCGTAATCAAGAACATTTTTTTGCATTGTATTCCAATATTGATTTTGGCAAGCGTCTCACTTACAGGGCTTTATAATAATCATATAATATTTTGTATTATCCCTAAAGGTGACCAAAAGTGACTTAAAGTAAACACATTACCATAAATGTTGGGAAATTTAAGTTTTTTTTTGGTTTTGTAAGAATTTTCATATCTTTTAATTTTTAATCTCGTTTTTTCGATGGCCGACTAACGTAACATCTTCATTTTCGGAATTCAAAACAAAATCAATTAAAAATGCTAAATGATACTTTAATTTGGATCACCAATACACATTTCATCGCTTCCAGATATTGATGGTATAAAATAGTAAAACAAAAATTTGTTGAAAATTTTCTGTATTCTGAACGGATCGCTTGTGATACCTAATTATATTTTCATAAATGACAAGAAGATGCCATTATAACTTCCGGTGAGCCTGATCACTGCTTAATAGACTTCGATTATTTTTGCACCATAACATACAGAATCGGCACCAATAATGAATATGACAGCTTGCTGTTTCATCCAAAAAAAAAAAAAACTTCTTGGAATTGCGACGGTAAATTAGACGCTAAATTTCTAAATTGCTCTGATAGTTGTCCGATCTTTTCATTTGTGAAGTGATCTCTTCACTCTATTTCGTTGTCATTTGAATTTGAAGCAGTATTCAAATGGTTTATTTCTGATCAATTGAATGTAAATTATCTCTTCCAATTGTGTTGCCAGAAGGGTTATTTGTTATTTGTATCCTGCCAGTTGGAGTGACGATAGGAGCAGACAGAAAATTGCGCATTACATTATTCAAAAGCTTTCATATAAGTTATATGATATAACACATGTTGTTCGATTTTTTCTATAAAATCTTTTGAATTTCAAGTTACGCCATTCTCAACTTCATACGTAATTATGTATTCCAGTAATAAAAAAACAAAAATTGCTCTTCATAATTTTCTATTCGAAAATAAACCGAATTATTGTGATTTGCCTCGTTACCATTAGCACAATTTAAAAAAAATATGTATGTATTATTTAGAATTGTAAGAGTAAGATGATAGATAATTTGTGCATGTTTCGGGTTATTGTTGACCGGTTAAAATTAAAAAAGGCAAATCGTACATGTTCGAAAACGGCAGTTCTTTGATAAGTTTTGTTTTTTTTCTCACATTTATCGTTTTTTCAACGACATACTTTCCCAAATTGGGGAATCAATAATGGAAATTTGGTCCAGAAAGTGAACATTTTTTAATCTATTTTCGTTCACAGCCAATAATTATAATTTATAATTTCAGATGCACGTCATAATACTTATATTAAACGTAATCATGAGGAGGTAAGTTTATTCTTATTCTTGTTTAGATTTTTCCGACAAAATGTATGAATGTGTCATAAATTAAAATGTTCAGCATTTTTTATGCTAAACATACTTGTATTATTGCGATTAAAATGTTTGCCAATATGATTTTAGGCAAAGGTGGACCAAGATGTAATAGACTTAGAGAGCTTAAAACATGCAGCGAGCAGTACAGACACAGATAAACATGATGAAAAATTGGCAACACTTGAAATGCAGTTAGCAGCTGCAGTGAACGGTGATGAGCATGGTCAAATTGAAACTGTTGAAAAACAGCCCGTCGAAACTGAGGTGACCAACAAAGCCACATCCGTTGATGACATTCATTCCGACAATGTATCGTCTAATACGAATGCAAGCACGAATGAAAACGTAAATGCGAATGCAAATTCGAGTGGCATCCGCACACAAGGCGCTCAGCCCAAGGTAAATTTGTTGCATTGATTGAATCATTGAATGTCAAGTTGCCAACTTTAATGACAATATGAATGTCAGAATAAATCAATTGGCTCGAAAAAATTTATGTTAAAAATTCGATAAATCTTTTTTATTTTGTTTCATTGCTACCAATAAAAAAAAAACAATCAGCAATATCATGGAGCTGCACGATTAGCGTTTGGACAAAATCCAGAAATTGTAAGTACTACAAGTATACCAACCACTGCAACATCCACTGCAATAGCAACGTCCTCGAGCCAAATATCAGTAGACAACAGTTCTTCGGGCGTTGAACATGAGAGCACACCTCCTATTGAGATCACAAATAATGGTGAAAGACGCTCGGGAAATATGAATGGCGCTAAGGTTCCTTAATCCGTTCAAGACTTGTGCTTCCATTTGATTTGTAGTTGTTTGACACTTTTTTTCTCTCCTTTTCTAATAATATTGAATGAAAGACTGCAACTGTCTCTTGTTTATCCATCTCATCTTCATGAAAACATAGTCGTTTTAGACATTTTGATTTGTAGCAAAATTGATTGGAAATCGAACTCGCTTTGAATGCATTATATATTTTTTTCTCGGAAAATCTATCATTTGTATAGGAAACATTCGACTAACGCAAAGTTATATTAACCCTCCAGAGCATTAGACTGCCTATTTATAGGCATTATAATAACTTGGATAGAATGTAAACAAGATTTCAAATCGCTTCAACTTAAAATACGTTGTGGAATGTTCACTGTTTTACTTGGGACTCAATTGACTCTTGTGGGGTTAAGTGATTTTTTAAAAGTAGTGAAATATTCCATGAAAAAAAATTATTTAATTTTTTTCAATTTTTGTCAATTGCATATTTTGATCCATGAAGAATTTGGTACTTTGGCTAATTCCGCAAGCATTTTCGCGTCAAAATTCACTGAAGGAACCAAGTTCAATACGCTTACAAAAATTAATGCGCTAGAGGGTTAATTATAAGAATAAAATAAAACCTGATTGACTTTTTTCTGTCCGTTGAACACGAAGCATGAACGCAAATGTAAAAATAATAATCTGAAAAGACGTGTTTATGTAATGTTTAATAAGCTTACGTTAAATATTATTTGTTGTTGGCCATCGTTCATTGTTACATGAATCTTAAAATAGTATATCGCTCATGTATATTTGCTTGTTACACATATGATCTAGACCTATATGTAAAGTCTTATTTGTATACTATCATAACCAATTTTTTTTTGTATGGCTTCAATAGAATGCGGAATATCTGTTTAAGCATAGCGGTGGACAATATAGTGCATTGGACATGGCGCAGTATGTTTTTTGGACTGGCGACGAAGAGGGTGTAGCCAAAGCCGTTGAAGAATTCATTCGAAAGGGATTGGTATGTATTGCAGTTTCGATTTTAATCGACCAAACAAACATTTCCATATGCAATCCATCGCAATGTTCTTCGTTTGAAAGCACTTGCCATGCTTCGACGAATCATTTTTTTTTTGTGTTGTTTGTTTATTTTCATTAAATTTGAATCCAAATAAGTTTTGATTTGAACCGAGCAATATGCTTGCATAATTTGGCTTGCACCGCGAAACCAATTTCAAGTTTGATTGAAATATGAAAGATGAATAAAGTTGCTCACATGCACAACATGAAAAATGTCATCTCCAGATCTGAACACAGGGATAATATGTCATGTGACCAAAATGATTATACATGGACTTGAATATTTAAAATTTAATCAAAATAGTTGCGTAATCAAAATGCAAGTTTCGCTTAAACAAACCTGGCAACAAAAAAATCCCGCATAATATAATCACATTGTGACGTATTTCAATTGTTATATTAATTTAAAATGTGCCATTGCAGATGTCACGTGAAAATGCAATCAAATTTTTGCGAGATATTTCAATGGGAATTGATTATTTGGAAAATGCGTACTCAGCGAATCGACAAGTTGATTTAATCGAGGACAATTCAATTAGGGTAGGTGAAAAAAAAATCATATATCACATTGAAATCGCTTTACCGTCATCGATCGGTGCGAAATAAATTTGTTTAATGCTATTTTTTCTATAGAGCTATCCACAGCTGATTGCGACAACAACAACCACAACCACTACAACACAAAAGCCAATCGTTTTGGTTGAGAAGTCAGTGATTCCTCCGCTGACCAACAATCAATATGGTGAAATTCCAGCGTCACTTATGCAACTGAATGAGATCCCAAATGAATCGAAAACAAAAGGTAATGCCAAAAAGTTTGATAGATTTCTGGCGCAATTATAAATATGAATCAATAATAAATTTGAAATTAGTTCCACGTGTAGAGCATTCCATCAATTTAGATGAAGCATCTGGTCGACTAAGATTGGCCGATTTTCTTTATGCAGAATATTCACTAGAAGAAGTAATATATCAATTAGCCAAGGTAAAAAAGAATGGAATTCATCACTTTCGGCACTCAGCATTAGTTAACATTTTAACATTCCCCCCAACCCAAACTCTCTATCTCTTTCCAGGCAATGTTTGCACAGTCATTAGCAAAAGGATCTGATGAAGCTCAAACAACTCTGCAACGAATGACGACGTTCCTTGAAAGCGAAGGATCAAGCGGCCGAATATCACCCGCTTTGCAGAAATCAGTTTTAGGTATAAATAGCACGTCATCACAATCCAAAATCAAACATTTCTAATCAAGCCGTTCTCTCGCGATTTTAGATGTTCTACTTGTTGCTTTAGCAGACTGTTTAGCAGAAAATCCACAATTGGTTGCGGCCGCTAAATTGAGTTTAAGTGAAACGGGACTACAGCTGCCAAAACAACTAGACAAACATTAATTAAATCAGTTGTTATTGCATACAAATGAATAAAGAAATATTTAATTAAACAATTTATCATTTCACCAAAATCAATTCAAATATTCAAAACGTCCACGCACACATTCACTCACAATAAACAGATTCACATACAAATTCGATTAACAACAAAAATAAATAAAACAAATTATGCTGTATATCAAATAAATTTCTGAAATGAAACCATGTATTGAGCTTCGTAAATTATAAGAAACTTTAAATGTAATTCAATTGGGATAATAAAACTGAAACTCCATTAAATTTGGCATTAAATTTCATGCTTTTTTCCCCTTATTTCATTCGTAAAGAGATATTTTCAAAGTTTGCTACCGGCACCAGTCATTCTGTATCATATCTAACCATTCTAGATTGTTTATATGTTCTAATTTGAAAATAAGTTGCAGTTTTATATGAGAAATGCAACGTATTATGTTAAGTGTTTGCATTTAATTAAATGCACTTCATACGGATACAAATTAAAGTGACACTAAATAGGTAAACAAAAAAATGTGTTTTTTCAAATACTCGAGTCTGTTCAATGTGTGTAAAATACTGCATGCAAAATACATTGAAAACAAAGTTTTGACACTTCTAAAATTCACGAAACAAAGGCAGTCAAAGAAAGAGATGTCAAAACATAACCTCAACTTTTTGGAATAATTGTAAACAACAAACGATTTTTGTTTCTTTGCAATATATTGCTTTTTATTTCCATATTTGTTGATAACATTCGGAAAAAAAATGGCAAGCAGTAGTGATAAATATGAAATTCCACAAGATATGGCCCGAATATTGTACGAAGAAGGAGCCTTATTGATAATTGCTGGAATGCCAGTTGGAACGGAGTTTGGATTAGATTTAAGCATAAACAAAGTGGATGAAATGTTTCGAGGAGTGAAAATGGTTCCGCCTGGTGCTCATTTTGTGTACACAGCTGCCGAAGGTCTATATGGTGATACAGCGTCACGTGTTGGTTTCATTCATTATTTTAAGAAACAAGAGATTGTTATTCGTGAATGGGACGATAACTTAGAGGAGCTGCGACATCGTTCAAATGTAAACATTGAAGCGGACAAATCACGTATACGTGAAAATTTGGCCGATTTGGATAGGTAAGACGTTAATCTATAAAAAAAAATCTTTCAAAACTGTTGAATTCAATTCAATGTTTTTAAATTCAGATTTTTGGCACCCTATGACTTTGAACAACTTAAAAAATGGCAACAGTTGACAAATGAACTAACCGAAGAAGTGATACAACGAACGATACCTGAATGTGGTGTTATTCGATCATCAGCCGAATTTCAGTCATGTCCGGATGCCGATCGTCCAAAAGGTCAATCGCCTCTAACTCGTACTGTGAATATTCGACAAAATCAAACCGAAGATGAACTTTTGCCAAAACTTAAGGTGGTGCCCGGAACAGCTCCACGATTTACCAAAATTCCAGCTTTATATCCAAACAGTGCCAGTCCAGCGGAAATATCTGAATGTCATTTAGATTCAATTCGTGCAATAGAAATGTATTTTAGCTCATTTTCGGAACCATTCGAAGCAATACGGGAAATTCAATTGTCATTTGTTCTCTTTCTATGTGGTTGTTCGGTTGATGCATTGGCACATTGGCGAAAAATTTTAGGACTTTTAGCCAAATCGGAATCGGCAGTTACAAAATTTAACTATTTTTATCGTCATTATTTGGAAACGCTTAAAATACAATTGCCAGAATTACCGGAAGAACTGATGATGCCAACGCCAAACAATACAGTTTTCAAAGATATTGGACAATTAATATTAAACTGTACGATAGGCGGATTAAAATCGGAAGCGGATACATTTATAGTTTACCTAACCAATAAAATGTCATGGCATTTTGATGATTTATTCGATGAAAATCCAGAAGATCTACCGGTTGTCGTCGAAACATAATGTACAAAATAATTTTCATTCAATAAATTAAATGGATTTCAAATAAAAAAAAGAAACTTTTTAATGCGCTTTTACTTTCAAATAGTCGTTCAATGTGCATTTCTCCCAATCAGTAATTTTTATATGAAAAATTCAAAGCCGAATTTTAATCACGTATTGCATGCTATTGTTTGCTATAACAGAAATTTATCAATAACGCTTACTATTTTGTATGATAAATGGTTTGTAGTCAAGCGAAGAATGGCAATGGAAATAGTGAAACAATTTCATCGTGTCATTAATAATAAATAATAATGGATGTTACCATCGTGGTCTCTTTACATATCATCGTAATATTTGTTCTGTAAACACACATAATGGTGATTATCCGTTTAACATTATTGCTATGACAACATCGGTTGCAACAAAACTAGCCACCAATCCAAGTTGACATGCGAGAATTTTTTTTTTTAGTTCTGACGTGGATACTCATATTTAATGTTCAATACTCATTTCGATCACATTGCATTCATCCACATTTGATTTCGCTTTCTGTACAACAATAGTTCAGTCGAAAATTAGCTTATTCCATCAATTAATCAATTAGAATAACTAAGTTTTAGGTGAAACTGTGAAACATACGTAGTGCAATCATGAAGCATCAACAAGTTGTTGTCGACTATTTTCAAATGTTCAAAACATCACTGTCTTGCATCATCTTGGTTGTGTTCGTTTGGATTTTTGTCAAGTGTGTAAATTATGTATATCTCCTTTGAATGTTATACCTAATTAAATCATTTATTCAAAGGCTCGTTCAATCGGTGTTTTTGCTGCCACGTTATTTGGAGAGAAATCATCAAATTATAACAAAATCATTGGCACAGCATTGTATTTCAGACGAAGAACTAAAATCATTTGAAGAAGAAGAGAAAAAACAAAACGAACAACAAAACGATCAAATTAAGGAACAACCCAATTTGACCGATGACGAGTCTAAGAAAACAATTTAATTTATACAGCACATACTCTCTTTTTATTCAAATCAATTTGTTATGAATGTTAGTTTTCAAATGTGTTTTTTTTCCTCAAACAATTTAAAGCAGAGTATTGCTCAGCGCTGCTGCCATCCACAGCATATTAAAATATCTTGCTGAGAATGCGTCGTCCGTCGCATGCGAATGTACGTACCAGTTTATACATAACAGCAAACAAGAATGAATGCATTGTTCTCTTCACGATTATGTGACTCAAAACATTCGAACGATTGTATAAAGAACAATGCATGTATTGTTGTTCGCTGTGATGTAATGCGACGGACGACGCATTCTCAGCAAGATATTTTAATATGCTGTGGATGGCAGCAGCGCTGAGCAATACTCTGATTTAAAGTACTTCAATAAATAATGACCAAAAAAAGTCTAATAAAAATTGCTAAATTGTGAAACATTTTTTAAATTTTTTTTTTGCTTTTAGCATCCAGCATTAATTTGATAATTTTGGATTGAATAAAGAAATGTTTTGATACACATTATGTGCCTGAAATTTCATTTCAATTGCAGTGGATTTTAGATACAAATTTTCTTCTTTTTTCAAATATTCTATACAATTTTCTGTTAGGGTTCGAATTTTCTTAAAAAAGTTTTTAAAATTACTGTATTTTTGACAACGAATGAAAATAAATTTTACGCTCAAGTCGTTGATGAGCTGAACGCTATTAAATGAACGAAAAAAAAAACAGGAGAAAAAATAAACGCTACGCAAAAACTTGTACACACCGGCCAACCGCAAATACGTCTACACTTCACCAAAATTAGTATGACCCGTAGTTTTGGCGTGTTGTTGAGCTTGCACTTGTCCTTTTAAAAGCATATCGCATTGAATGCATTTCAAATCGAATTTATCAACATCGGTGAATTGTCTAGATGATTGGGCCTCTTTTGCTAATTGTTCAGCTTGCCGATAAACTGATTCATCTTCAATTGGAAACATTGTTTTTGGTGGACCACCCTAACAGGAATAAATAAAGCAAATAAATCATGAATATAACAATTAAGCACAAATAAAAAATAAATATATATTATTCTTACCGAAATCGATTCCAAATACAACGGATCATAATGAATGCCATCAAATAATAAAAATACCCGCATTCCATACGCCTTATCTTCTCCAAATCGATTGATCAAAGCATTCGTTATGTCGACAACATCAATTTCAACGCCATAATAGTTGGATAAGATTGATACTTCGATGGCACCACCCCAAGAGGCTGGCTTTTTGATCCAATCACAATATTCGGCATTTGTTTTTCCCAACATGGCTTCATTGAATGTTTCTTTATCGTTTGAAACATGCTGAGAAATAACTTCACGCAAATAGCTTCCGATTTCTGTATCGATTTGGCCTTTCATTACGTAACCTGAATTTTGTTTTCAAACACAAATTTATTAAATAAAATTCGCACAAAAATCATCGAATAACAGTTAGAAAAACCGCTATAACCAAAATGATTAGAAATATTCAATTACCTATACTTGTAAATAAACAGCTGTTGTCGGATGGAACGACTTGTTTCAATAATATTCCTTCTGTTGGTAAAGTCACTTCTTGGTTGGTTGATGGAATATCATCTAGTTGCAAATTGTTTCGTTGTTGTTGTTGCGGCACTACATCTGGTATCGGTTTTTCTTCAACAATCAATGTATCACCATTGATAATACCTGACGCTGACAGCAAACATTCATTTGCCGATAAATCGAGTGGTTTTGGTGGGAAACCAATTTTAACGCTAAGCCCTTCGGCGGGTATACTTGTCAGTTCCGAAATTTTCGATTTTAAATTACCAATTGTTTCATCTGCCGATAAATTATTTACAACATGATGACCTTGTTTTGTTTTCACTTTTAACATAAATCCGCCCATTTTTCGTTGAATCCTAAATAAAAAAAACGTTGTAAACAAGAAAAAGAAATATCTTTTTAATTTCAATGGCATACTTTGCACAAAAGAAAATTAAATCGCTTCATTTTATGCAATTCATTACTTTTTTCCTAATTTCCGTTTCGAAGAGATACGATGATGAAGTTTTTTTTTTCAAACAATTGTACAGTTTTCAAATGTAACTGCAATACGTTTCTGTTATGATATATTTAAAATTGAACACTTTTTTTCTGCTAAAATTCTATGCGATTGTCTTAAATTCGATTTCTTTGCTTGACAGTTCTCTATTGAATGTGTCGAAATTGAAACGATTAGTTCATTCACATTGACAGCAATTGGCCTACTTAACCCATATATCACTTTCAAGTTAAATTTATTGTTCATAATGTTCATAAACAGTTATCAGTTTTGCAGTTGGTTTTTCGTAAATATTACAAGAAAAAGAAAAAAAAACCTTCAATGCATGATTTTGACCTTTTATTGTAAGACTTACACGGCAGTGCCCTCTTGTGAATTGAATTTATAAATACTACATTCGTTGCGGTGAAAATGGTGAAAAAGAATAAATGTTTGGCTTTTGTACATTTCCAATAAAAGATTTTTTGTTTTTTATTTGGTTCAAATTCACATCGAATTCATGAAACATTTTTATTAAATTCGTAAATCGTCTGTACATAATATGTATATATATATTTTGTTTTAATTTTATTGGTTGCAATTTTACAATCCACAAAATTTGTTGTTGTCGTTTGTTTTCGAATTAGAAACGTTCAAATTTCAGTTAATTAGCGATAAAATGCTACTTTAATTAATGGATTAATAATGTGGCTATGCTAAATCAGTATTTTGAATCTATTCTTACATACTTTTTTCTGTGTTTCTGTATTTCACAAATTTAAATTTATTACAGTTATATTCTATATCTACAAACTTAACAATCTTTTTTCTTTTGGTCAACGAATTAAAAACAAAACACAATTTTTTCTTCTCTCTCTCTCTCTCTCTCTCTCTCTCTCTCTCTCAATGAAAACATCAAATGTGTAAATAAAACTGTGTCCTTCAAGGAACAAATAGCTCAATCGAATTGAGCGAAAAAAAGAATTCTAGATTCATAAATTTAGTCTTCATCAGAGTCGTTATCACTGTTTGCAATCGAGTGCAGCGTCATACGTGATAACGATTCATTTAAATTCTTCGTTTTACTTTCTTGGTTTTTAATTTTTGCAAGACGTTCCAACAGTGTCATGCGTCGCGGTGTTGTTATTGCCACATCCGGCTGTGATTTATTTGATGCTGGCGGTGATAGTGAATTAGTTGAGGTGACTGGTTGCGCACTTAGCACTTCCGATTTGATTGCTTTTGCATTATCGTTGTCAATTTGTGCGCATTTTAGTTGAATTTTATTTGCGAGTTTTGATGAGATTTTCATTGTATTTGCCGCTGTATCATCTAAGTCATTGCATTTGTATCGATTTTCGGTGTGTCCATTTATAAGCTTATCAGTCGATCGTTTTTTGTAGTTTGTGTTTGATGGATGCTTCAACATGCACGATCGTTTTTTTCGTTTAAGACCAGGCACTTTTAAACTGGACAACTTCGATTTGCTGCCATCAAAGATGGCCGGCGGACGCTTCAAAATTGGCCAGTCAATTTCAAATTGACGCTGTAGATTTGCAGCGGGTCGTTCAGCTGGTAATTCGGGTGGTTTTGAGAATACAGCACGATTTTCTTGTACCGCTTGCTGTGCCATCACGTCTGCAGCACCTTTTATCGATACGCCTGTGTCGCTTTCATTTTTATTGGTTGATTGTTCATGGTTTTGTGGTTGTGGCGGTGGCGGTGGAGGTGGTTGTTGTGTTTGTGGTTGTAATGACAGCTTTCGTAGCTCTTCTTTTGATTGATCAGTATTTGATTGATGCTCACTTTCAATAGGTTCGGTTGTGATTGGAAGCACTTGACGTCGTTTATTTGGTTTATTGTCAATTGGTGTTGGAGATGCGTTTCTTGATTTGACTTGTGTTACTTGTGATTGAGGTTGTTCTGGCTGAGATATTGTTTGTTTTGGAAATTCATCTTGAAAATCTTTGTAATCTTTTTTTAATAGAGTTGATAAATCATAAACAAAGTCTTTTTTCACGGGCATTATACGATTCCTGATGGGTCGCCGTGTTGCTAGTATTTCATCTGGTTTTTGACTTTCTGCCGGTGAAAGTGATCGTGCCGAACCCTTTGGTTTGTCTTTTGCTTTCGGTCGACCTTTTCGCTTTAAATTGGCATTTGATTTGCTAGTTTCGGCTTGTTCGACGACATCATCAATGTGATTACTTGAATTATCGTCTAAATCGGTGTTGCTATTTTCATTTGACGCGCCCAATGGTGCTAAGAGTTGCTCACTTGCATCATCCACAATGAATGGTTCACTGTCGATAAATATTTCCTCGTCATCGTCTCGTAATACTTCGGTGTGCTTTTCTTTACGACGATTTACACCACTTGGTGGTGGTGGTTTTGGCATTGGTTCATCATTTATGGTGACAAATTTAAAGGCATCCGATCTTTCGCCGCCAAATTGATGTTTGCTCCGAACATGGCTAAGAATATCGATTTTACGACGAGCACGGAATGTACATAGATTGCATGTAAATTTTTTCGGTCCAAAATGGCTCATTGTTATGTGACGTCGAAGGTTGCTTGGATTTGAAAACTTTTTAAAACAGTACTTGCAGTGGCTTGAAGATAATTTTGATTTTGCTTTTGTTTCAATCACTTTACCGGTATTCTCATTGGCAGATGCGCGTGTTCTCTTTTCTTCTTTAACCACAACTGTACTTTCAAACTTGGATGTTTTAACTAAGGTGTCAGTGTCGCCCGTGTGATTGCTAGCCGAATCCGACATATTCATATCATCGATCGGTGATACATTCTCTTCTTTGATCTTAATAGCACTGTCGGCATTCCAACATATATTCAATGATTTTTCATCATCCGATTGAATGGATTCGTCGTTGACAATTGCTTTCAATGCCCGATTTCTTTTGCGTCGATTTGTTGACGTTATTTCAGAAACGTCCGGCTCAATTTTTATCGATTTGTTTGGTTTTTCTTTTAATGCTGATAAAATATTATCATCAATGCAGGCACCGTCTAATGAATTTGAATTAGATGAATCGTCGAATTCTCGATCGTTCCAACCGTTTGTTGACTGCGATCGATCGTGATCAACCTTCCTTGTAAGCGATATACGTGTGTTTGGTTTCTTCTTTTGTTGACACACCTATTTCAAAATCGAAACAATTATCATTCAACTAAATTGCTTTGCTTAATAATCATTGAATTTACCTTATGATGTGAAAGTAAGACTGCTCTACGATCAAATTGTCTACCGCAAAACAGGCAAACATTTTTACAAGCGTTTTCATTATCCTCGAGATTGTCCAGCCAAGCTTTGTTCTGTGAATCGACGCGTTCTTTATCTGTTTGTAAACGAGCCAATTCCCTGCTGGGACCTTTCACCTGTACTTCATCGATTCGCGTCCGTCGTTTTAAAATCGAATCACGCATTAATCGAACACGTCGCATTGATTTTCTATATGGAAAGCACCGTTTTAGCATTTCATAAAATCAAATTTAAAAAAACACTTAGTACTCACTTATGATCGTTTGTCAAGTGCCGTATCACCTGTCCAACCTGCAAAAATGTTTTACTACACGATGGACATTGAAAAACATACGTAGATGTGATGTGCTTTGTTTCTATATGCAGTTTAAGCATTTTTTCGGTTGCAAATTTACTATTACCTATAGTTCGAACAAAATCATAAATTTATTATCAAAATCATCGCAAACCAAAATCTTGCTCTACTCACATATTTCACATTCAAATGGTTGTGGCAGTTTAATTTGTTCATCGTCGTCTGGAAATGTGGGCAATTCCGATGGACTGATTACTTTTCCATCGGGTCCTAAAACTGTACAACTGTTGTCCGTATTTTGTATGCTTTGTATTTCAATGACTTCGGTTTTAATATTGTCGCTCGTATCATGTTCATCTTTAACCGTTTGATAAACGGCAACATTCGATTCGGGAACAACGTCCAAATGTAGTACATGTCTCTTTCGCATAATGTCATCTTGCGTGAGTTTTTTATTGACTTGTTCATAAAAATCGTTAAGTTTCAATAATCGACTAGTTTTTTCTCGTTTAATGAGTCGTTCGACTATGCTACTTAAATCCTTTTCATTGTTTTTGCTACTTTTAACAGTACCCAAAAAATCACCTTCGGCTTGAACAATTGTCGATATATCTTGATTGAATCCTTGGCCATCATTGTGAAAATCATGGTTCAATGATAAACTGTAGGTTGCTTTGCAATAAACTCGTTTGTGACTTATGAAATTGGCCAAACTTCGAAACATATTTCGACACACCTTACATTCATAAATGATGTCACATTCATTTGATAGCAGTTTACGTACCTATTTGAACAATTTCAAGTTGAATTCGTGTTGTTGTACGATTTTGTATGCAAAAACAAAAATTGAATGCAATTGACACAAACCTCTTCGGTGCCATCTTCAAAGGCTTTTCTCGCTTCATTCAGTCCGTTTATCGATGTTTTTATGGGTTTCCGCAATACACTCAAATCATTGGTTGCTTTTTCTATATCCGAATGCAGTTGACTGGTTGTAACTTCAGCCGCTCGCTTCATATTTAACCATTGATATATCCTTCGATCAGACTAATTTTAATTGGATGGCAGTGCGAATATTTGCATCTGTAAAGGAAAAAAAAACAATAATCATAATAATTTTCATAAGTGATTTAACACACAGTCTAACTGGATTTTCTACACTTTTCATTTGTCAGCTAATTTTATCTTAATCGCTTAGTAAATTTGAGAAGAAAAAACAAAAAAATATTTTTCACATTTCAAGACGATCAATATTTTCTTCGTAGCTTGAATATTTTCTGGCCAATAATTTTTTGCATTGTTGACAATATTTTGTATGCACTTTACTCCAACATTGATTGTGTTCGGTTTAATGATGTTTTTGTTTTTACATAAATCTTTGTCACTTTGTCAAATATGCAAGCGGTGCAGATCAATTTTCACAAAATAAAAAGCAATAGTAATAATAAAGGCACATGATCGACAATATTCAACTGTAAATCTATTACACCGTCACAAGACGCATTTAACAAATCAACAAACAATATAATTTTAACTCCGTTAATTTTTTCACATTTTTCCGATATCAGCTCTTAATTTTAAGAATATATTTCTCATTTGATTACACGTTTCAGAAGTAAATTTTTCGTTTTTAACTGTTGGTTACCAAAAGAATGTGAAAATATTACATTTTATGTCTGTGTTTTGTATTTCAAAATGCTGAGCTAAGCTAAATTGTATTACAGGTTTTTTTTTTCAAATGTGCACTGCAACTTGTTTAAACATTTGTATGGAAATTATGGGAAGAAAATCAGAATGTTGTTTGTTTATCAGTTGATCATATATACAAAGGCTGACACTTTTGATTTGATTCTTCGGCACATTTGGAACAAAAATGTATTAATAATAATGTTGGCTGCTGTTGACTACGACGATCAAAACTAAATGAAATGGAGACATAATACTCAAAATTTTGTAGTCATACGTCATGTTTAAAGCAGCCAAACAGCACTCATTCTCTCTACTTGTAATTCACACCACACTCAACGCACATATATTCTATTTAGCTATATTACGTTTTATTTCACTTTATCGTTGATTTTTTGCGTTTTTTCGTTGCGATATACAATAAAAGCTAAGTCCACCATATGCAAGTCAATGTAATATATTGATTTCGAGGTATTAGCGGTTTTTAAATCCATTTAAACTTAAAATTGTGCTTTTTAAATTCGAAACATTTTTTTTGTAAACTTTTAAATATTTTATCGCCAAAAAATAGAATTTATTAAATTTCCGTTTTCTGTAGACTTCATTTCATTCAATATCATAATTGGAGTAATGTGTAATTCCAATTTTTATTTAAATGACTTGAAAAAATGAACCGTAGTAACGACACTGTTTGATAAAATCTTCTGTGCAATGAACATTTTATCATTTAAATTTTATTGCAAAAAAGAAAAATTTAAATGTTGTAATTATTAGCACTTATGTTGTCATATGTTATGATTTTCGTAACTTCTTGTATGTTTTTGATATTCCGTTATCCATAATGTACATTTAAATTAGTTTGTATATCGTTACTTTTGGCAATAGCAAGTATTTTCAAATTGTAAATCGATCATATTTGCGCACATATTGAATTTTAGTAAAAATATTCAAAATAAAATAAAAATACTCTTGATATTATTAATCTAATTTATTATTTGAATGATTGTTGAATAGAAAAAAGGAAACAACAAACATTTAATATTGTATTTACTTCATTTGGTTTCGACGATTTAAAAAAAAAAAACAGTTGAATGAATCAAAAAAATCAAATTTCGTCGATTGGAATTAGAATTAAAAAAAACTACACGCAAACTACTTAGTTGCAATATTTGAAATGCTTTTGCTTTTCATGTTTGATAGTGCTTAAAAATAGTAGTCACTCGATTGTGCTTATTTTGTGTATTAACGCGATTCACCTTATTTTCTGTGAATGTGTGTTGTATATTTTACTTGTGTCTTTAGCTATAAGTATATTTTGTTGCCTATGTCACGCTTCTGATGCTATTGCCGCGACCGCTGTCTTCTATCTATGTGTGTTTGCTTTCAACTGAAATAACTATACCGACGTTTAGCGAGAATTGTAGTCACGCTCGCACCAAACCATACGACGTTTCAGTGTATAATAAGCTATCGAAAAACTCATGAAATGTTCTTATGTTTCGTTTCGGTTTTCAATTGAGTGTTTCCCTTAGCCTGTCGTCTGCCATGAAACGGTCTCGAACACACATCGATACGGGACCATGTCACAATACTGATTATATTATGGTTATGTTTGTGTTATTATTTTTGTATTAGTTCACATACACGACAAAACGTCAGAATCCACATGAATTACGTTCACAAGCAAGCAAACTTCGAACTATCATGCTCTTTAGCACACACACACACACATGCACACACAGACGCATGCACATACATTTAAACATTCAACAGCAAGAAGCCGGAATTTATGAATAGACATAAAGGGGAAGATGACAATATATACACATATTTAATAAAACAGCAAAACACACAGACAAATGTTCACGTTAGAAGTCTTCTAAACATCCATTAACAATCATTTTATACGGACCAACACACGCGGGCCCATTCATATGTGAATGAATAAAAAAAACATCTTTACTGCTTTGTTAAATTATGTTGTTGGTTCATATATATGTATATATATTTTTGAATTTCATATGATACTCCTTCGAGAAATACAGATCAAAATTTACATTTACATGCTAAAATATTGGTGATGCGAGATGATATCGACTTGAGAATTTGCCACACTAGATTTTAATTTGACATATTTATATTGTTTCCGAAGCTTATTCATTTCATCATTATTGGTCAATCAAGTTTCTGATAATGGCAATATTTCTGAAAATTGCGTGATATTATTCACAAAATCTTATTCGAGTGCGAGTGCTGGCCAAATAATGTCGGTTTCTCCAATGTTCATCAACATTTATTTGTCCATACGAATATCATTATTTTTTTTTTTTATTAAAAAAATTTCTTCATAAACATCGAATGCATTACGTGACTAAAAAAATATGCACTCCGTATCAATGAAACGTCTAAATAATATATTGACTCACCAAACAATGTATTTATGCTGTTTTCTTTGTATTTTCGTTCCCGTTAAAACAACTGCATTTTATCTTATCGCTTCACCAATGAATAATTGTCATCGTGTTTATATATATTTTTTAGCTTCCAAAATGGAAGCAGATTGCATCGATGAACTTTTCAATTTTTCGTTGTAAATCAATTTACTTTTGATCTATCGCATTTGTAGACGATTTTAATTTTTACTGTAGAAAATTGGTCGAATTTTCCCCTGATTGAATGTTTACTGATCGATTCTGAGTTGATGTTTTCGTTTTCTACATACAAACCAAAATGAATACTAAGATAGATGCAACGTGGTTTGCTATCAATGTTATCATCACTATTATCTCTATATTCTCTATCGCAAGACAACCGAAGGGAATCACATTTCCGAACACCAATTCCTAGTATTCAAAATTCAGTTTTGGCTACAAAATGATTGTATATTCGGATGAATCTGCATACAATCATAATGAAAATCATTCGAACGAAATTTACAAACAACACATGCTCATTATTTTAAGACCTACAAAAACGATCAAGGGAAGGATCGGTGAAAAATATATGAATGAAGGTTTCTATTCATTTTTCGTCAGTATTCTTCAACCAAACGAATAAATTTTACCCAATAAGTAACCGTTCACACACCAAAAAACAAAACTAGAACATTTTTAACTTTCTCAAAACACACAAATTTGATAGGATCAATGACGCGCGACGTAAGTAGAACTGTTTTATAATTTAGCACACCGTTGTTCCAAATGGTTTACTATCTACAGTTATGCATTTCTATTGATGTTTTAAACTAAATAATTCTTATATAGCTATATAATAATGTCGGCACAAAATTTTTGCTGAAAAATTTTGTGAAATAAATAAATGTGTAAGAAACTTTGACTATTAGTGGTGAGTATGAATGAGATTTACGCACCATTCAGTCACACACAGTCAAAGTCAAACAAAATTATAATGTTCAACGAATGGGAACAAAAAAGTCGAATCAGCCAAAATGATAAGGTAGTTATTAAGGTTGTTTTTAGTTTATCTAAATAATAAAAATTCCTGTCTGCATATGTTGCCTTCTAAATACAGTAGAAACCAGAATGTTGGATTACAGTTTGAAGAATTCAATCGCAAAACATCAATATTGATATCGCACTGTAGTTGAGTACAGTTTTCAATTGAGGAGAAAAAAAAGTTTTGCTCGAATTCGTCCAATGAAATGGAGTCGAAATCAATATAATATCAAAGAAAGGGCCACACATTTACTTCATATTTTAAAATATTTATTTGAAAATAGTTTTTATATTTGAATTTTCTCATACTTCATGCACACCAAATATTGTATGGATTCATGTGTGGTATTTGTATAATATAAATATGCCTAAAATGGCGGTTATTGAATTGAATGCTGTTAATAATAGGCGGAATAATGTTTCCATATGAGTTTAAAAATGGTTAAACAATTTGGCAAAGATTGAATACCAATTTCCATATTTCACGTACACTTCCATCGGTTTGGTTTTTATTTTTCAAATTATAGACACTTTCGTATTGTCTTAAGGTTCATTTAAATGAAACTTTTAATTCATTGGGAACTAACCAGTAAAAACAATTGGAATGTATGTATTTTCTTTCTGCTGAGAAAATGTCTCGAAAACTTGATAAAAAGCAGTGAGCACGTTTTTTTTTCTTTTCAATTTTCTTGTCGCACGAATGCTTAAGCACAATAATTATGTCATGAAACATGAATTTGATATTCACTTATATTAATCAATTCAATAGAATTCACCATCACATGCGACTTTCTGAGAAGAAAAAAAAGTATTTCTGTAAGAGCTAAGAGAAACTTCAACAATAACTGTGTGTACGATTGAACATTTGAATCAAATCACATCGAAATTCAACAAATAATTTGTAGCGATTTCATATACTATCTATATCTATGGAGAAATCAGTCGGTCGTGTTGTCAATCATTCACAAATAAATCACATTCATTGTCATCCTTTTCTCTGTTTATTTTATGTAATCACACAATTCTTCTCGTTTTTTTTTTTTTGTTCGTATTTTGTTTGTTAAAACAATAGTAAACTTACCGAATTTAATTTTGAATTCTGCCCAAAAAAGATGTCTGATGCTACGACAACTGTTTGAATGCGTGCCTTTTAAAAAGACAAACTATAGACTCTGTAATCTAATTTTCGTACGCGGGAAAGTGTTTTGTTTTTAATTTTTCAAATATGCAATAATATTTTCTATTTTTCTTCTTTTTTTTTTATTTTTTTGATTGGACGTATTAAAACAGTCAAAGCGCAAGCAACGAATAGCACAACTGAAGAATACACGAGCAAAATATTAAACTACTTGTGCACATCAGCATAGGCTCACTTGTGCGTACGTGTGTATATGTATATACATGCTCGATGTGAGATGGAATGAGTTTAACTTGAAATAATGCATACCAGACAAATTCAACCTGTAAATATACAGTTTATCGCGATATAAATTTGTTTTTTTTTTTTTTTTGACAATGGTGATACAAGTGTTTGCCGGTTTTTATGTCTAAACCGCAATATATCGAACCGCCGCGAAGGTGCAAGACATCATCATCCATCTAATTAAATTAATTGCAAGCAATATGAATGACGTTACATCTGAACTATGATTTCAATTTTCAATTTCAACAGAAATTCATTTCGTATTGATTTCATTCTAAGACAAATTTAACATTGCGGCCTGGATGGCCAACCATAAATTCAATTTCAGTAATAAACTCATAATCGTAGCATTTATATCGATATTAGCGAGATTCCCATACACCTGCGATGTTGAAAGGGAAAGGCTTTTCGATACACTATACCATTTGTAATACTGCGTCAAGAAAAGTTTGAAAATAATTTTCCAATAAGGGGAAATGATAGCCGTACATAATAGCGCATACATTCGTCATCGTTGATTTTTTTTTTGTTATATAATATCTATACATATTTATACATAAAAAGAAATTTGCTGTAATGTTGGATAATTTCAATGTTATATTCAGGAAAATCGTTTGGTTTTGCCCAATTTATAGTTAATTAAGTCATAAACATCTCTCGTCTTATTTCGAACTTGGAAATGGAATGGGTGTTGGTTAAATCATTGGCGAATCTAGAATGAGCGAAGACTATAAAATGATGATAAATAATCATCGGGAAGAACTACATAAATTGAAGTTGGTTTACTTGAAGCAAATGAACTATGATGAAATTAATGTGATTTTTTTTTTGTTTTTTTTTTTTTTTTTTTTTTTTTGTTGATCCGTACAGAGCGCAGTTGTTATTTAAATGCATTTGCCAGTGTAAACCATGATGCCATATTTGATTGCGAACATTTAAAATTTATTGATGAATTTGTAACATTTCTGAAGTTCATGAATCAGGCTTACAATAGCACAGCGACCAACGCATTGATTCTAATCATAAGACTATTATTATAGCATAATTCATTAAGTGAAATTCAAAGAAGTTCGATAAGCGAAATGAATAATTGCCATTGACATGCAGTGATAGGTGACAGCCTTTTCCATTATTCAATTTAATTATACTAAGCATTTTATCAGTATTAAAAACGAGTCAGGTCCATCAGTGATAATTATAGTTTTTTTTTTTGCTCATCACATTTTGAATCAGAGACGATAAAAGATGTTAATTTCTTCAGAAAGATTTCGTATCGTGCTATAGCTAAATTTCATTTCGAATAGATGCAAACAAAAATACAAGTGATGAAGGTGATCGAATTTATTTGAAATATAGATGAATGAGAGTATGTGGGTATGATTTCACTTTCAATTTGACAACGAATCACATTTAAAAAGCTAAAAGAAAGAGGGCGCTATCAACAATCCATGCGCTAGTAAATAAACACTGTTGACTTTGACAGCTCACATGGTGATTCTTTCTTTTCAATCAGAAAAACGTGTACAAAGTTCGTTGTTTTGTCGTGTACAAATAGATTTTGAGCACTCACTTTTTTTAGTTTCATCTTTGTTATAACAAAATAAAAATAAAAAAATCAAAAATGGATTATATAGATTCAGATGTCCATTTAAAATCGGAAAGCAGCACAACAAATTCAAAAATGTAAGTATTTTTTTTTTGCTAAAATAATAATCATATCATTTGTATCATTGATATGCAATAGAAATTTGGTTATGTTTGGCTTTTTGAATAGTGATTGCATTTCGTTGTGAAATTAAAGAAAATTTTATGTTTTAATTCAATTTTCAGATTGTGTTGTGAATGTGGTACATTGATTGATCCCAATCCAGCCAATATGTGCGCTGCCTGTCTGAGAAATAATGTGGATATAACGGAAGGTCTGTATTTAAAACATAAAAATTCGAGTGCTTCACACAAATGACCATGTTCATTATATTTTTTTGTGCATTTCTATAGATATTCCCAAGCAGGCAGTTCTATATTTCTGTCGTAATTGTGAACGATATTTGCAGCCACCATCAGAATGGGTCCAATGTACACTGGAATCGCGTGAATTACTTGCATTGTGTTTGCGAAAGATGAGAGGTTTGAAAGATGTGAAACTGATTGATGCTGGATTCATTTGGACCGAACCACATTCAAAGCGAATCAAATTGAAAATGACAGTGCATAAAGAAGTGTTTGGTGGTGCAATATTGCAGCAAGTCTTTATCGTTGAATACATTGTAACTAATCAAATGTGTGACGATTGTCATCGCACCGAGGCCAAGGACTTTTGGAAGTGTTTGGTTCAAGTGCGTCAACGTTCCGAGAATAAAAAGACATTTTACTATTTGGAACAGTTGATGTTGAAACATAAAGCGCATGAAAATACATTGGGTATCAAACCGGAACATGGTGGTCTTGATTTCTATTATGCCAACGAAAATCATGCTCGCAAAATGTTGGACTTTTTGAACACAATGTTACCAATCAAAAGTACCGAATCGAAGCGTCTCATTTCACATGACATTCACAGCAACACTTACAATTGTAAATTCACATTTGCCGTTGATATTGTACCGATTTCAAAGGATAGCTTGGTATGTCTGCCGAAAAAATTAGCTCAACAGCTTGGTAGCATTTCACAAATCTGCCTAGTCGCTCGTGTTGCGAACACAATACATTTAATTGATCCACTTACAGCACAAAGTAAGCAGTTTTTTTCTTCTTTTTTTTCGGTTTGACGAATTTTAATCTTTTCCATGTTTTTTTAACCATATTCATAGTGGCCGAAGTAAATGCAACCGTCTACTATCGTCACGCATTCGAAGCTATTTGCAATCCAAAACAATTGACCGAATACATAGTAATGGACACGGAAGTGATTATGCAAAAGGATCGCAAATTTTTCCCCGGCCAAGGAAAAGTTTCAGACCGTCATGTTGTATGTGATATTTGGTTGGTCAGAGCTTCTGAATTGGGTATCAATGATAATACCATACACACACGAACACATTTGGGCCATTTATTGAAACCGGGCGATTCAGTTCTATGCTATAATCTCATCGATGCCAATATAAACGATGATAACTTTGAGAAATTAAACAAGGATCGTGTTCCCGATTTGGTTTTGGTTAAGAAATTCTACAGTGATTTCAATGCACGAAAGAATGGACGTCTTTGGAAGCTAAAACATTTATCAGAAGATGTAACCGCTTTTGATAGAGGACAAAAGTAAGTTTTCGAATATATTTTTGGCTACTTTGAGATGAAGTGCTTTCGACGAGTTAATTTCTAATAAGAAAATCACAGAAACATTGGTTTTAACATTGACATTCTTTTATTCTAGGGACTACAACGAATTTTTGAATGATTTGGAAGAAGATCCACAATTGCGTCAAAATGTCAACATTTTTAAAGATTCATCAAAAATAATTCCAGTGGATGTGAACGATGGCATCGATCCATCTGTACCCCGTATTACTTTGGAGGAAATGTTGGACGATCTGGTTTTGGAAGATGATGATATGGGCGAAACCGACGAAATGGCCGCCACAGAATAAGAATTTTTATTTCAAAAATATCTATTAATATCACGCAAAACAATCAAATAAAAACGATAGATCAAAAATTATCATGATTTTCCACAAACAAATTTGCTATTAACTTTTTAATAGATACTGTTAAGTTTAGAGCTAATTTGCATGTGCGTTACATTTTTATTTTATCATTTTTTCAAGATACTTTGTTCGATCAACTGTTTTTCATGATCAATGTAACATCTACAAATACACTAACAAACGCACGAGTTAAGCTCTATGAGACTCTCTCTTTTTGGAATTTAAATATGGTAAATGTACATTTATGCGGTTGCCGTCAAATCTTATATTCAGTATACTACAGTACAGTATACTTTTATTCAGTGTTGTTTTGTTCAATACTGTTTCCACGCTTTTGAATCAATTAGATTTGTTATTGAGATTACGTCATCAATGAATATGCTGTTTCGCATAACTACTTTTTGAACTACTGACACAATGAAGAAGAAAAAAAAGCAACACAATTATCACATTTCAGTAGAAAATATACATCGCATTTCAATAGCTTCGTATATTTTAATTTCAAATGCGTCGATACCACTGAAAAGGAAATTAAATGTTGATCGCTCCAAAACACATACATATACGCTTAGGTCTTACATACGTGTTTATTTCTTGGATTTAAATACTAGCAATCACCGATCATTTATCAGAATTTAGTCGAGTTTTGTCAGTGATTTGTGAAACATCATTTGCAAGATGTTGTTAAAAACATTCTTTTGTTTATTAATTACGTTCCATTTTCAATTGAACCGATTGGTTCAATCGAAAGCATGGCCTCAAATTGGTTGGTCCAATCCATACTACTCTCAAGGTAAATAAAAAATAAAATAAACTTCTTCACAATTACGTGACCTTGAAAACAAAATAAATTCCATTTGAACTATACCAGAACCAGTAACTACAACAACCACACAGAAGCCATTGTATCCAACGTTATACTCAAGAAATAATCCACATCCCGTGCCATATGATGATGTTGGTCAAAGACAAGGTCAGTTTAAATTGAATAAGAGTCGCGTGTATTCACAATAACGATATTTAAATTCAAATTATTATATGCGCTTCATATCTAGTGCCAGTGAATCCATTTGATGTGCATCCATCGCAACCAAATATTGGCGGAAATCAACGCAACGACTATTCAAATAACAATTTTAATTATCCCTACGATAACACTCGCACTCCTACAACATATCCACCGTTTGATGGGTCAACCAGAAGAAATACTTTCCCCACACGTCGACAATTTTACAATATACCACCACAAAGTAAGTTTTAGTCGGAATATCTGTAGAGTTGAATAAATTCTTTAACTTTTTTCTTCAAATATATACAGGCTCTTTCAATAATAGTGCGCCAAATAATCATAACCACACCCAACTTTTAAATGATCACAACAATCAAAGGCCAAATACTGGAAACAATTATCCAAATCAAAATACACATAATAACGGAGACCATCAACATCGTCCGTTCCCAAGTAAGTAAACTTTCAACAACAACAAAAAAATGTTGGGAGAAATGAGTTGATTTGCAATCATCATTGAAAACTCTTTTTTTGTCAATTAATTTAATTCATTTTATTTATGGAACTCTTTTTCGTTACTAGATCCACAGTTTTATGATAGAAATAATCAAAACGGACCTATTCCAAATGCTGGAAATAATTATCAAGATCGGAATAGATATAATAACACATCCTCTCAATATCCTTCACTGCAAAGTAGATATCGTTCTATTTTATTTTAATTGAATAATTGAGTTAATTAAATGAAATATTAAACATTTTATTTTGTACTTAGATTCAAAATTTGATAATGGAAATGTTCGTAACCAAGCCATTTCAAATGGTGGAAGCAACTATCACAACCAAAATACAAACAACAATAACCCAACCAATCAAAATCGTCAATTTCCAAGTAAATATTGCGTCGTAATTCAATTTTAATTGAGATAATTAATTCAGCACTTCATAAATATAAGAAAATGAATCTTTTCGAATAGATCCACCGTTTAATGATGGAAGAAATCAATACCAATCAAATTATCAACAAAATCATGGTGGTTTGACAAATCAAAACAATTATGGCCCTTCAGCTCCACCAACGCCTCAATACCCAGTCCTACCAAAACCACAACAGCCACAACAGCCCGACTTTGATCCAAATGGTGTTGCTTTGGCTCCTTTCCCCGATGAAAACGTTGATCCAAATAATTTTGGCGCACGCAAACATTTCAACTATGAAAACTTGCACCACAGACATCCATCAAAATCTAATGTTGATAGCAACCCGTTAAAAGCTACCGAAAGTCGATTTGGTGCAACTAAAGTGGTACCATTGGCTTCTTACACTAGCTTCGGCGGTGTTCAGGTCCCATTGGCACCACTGGCACCATATTAGACTCATTTCATTTGAAATAATTCTCTACGCTTTAATTATCTAATCAAAAAAAAATTAAGTCGACTTTTTTTTTTAAATGATGACATTCGATTTATTTATTAGCTGTCATGTATCGAATTTTAAGCAAAGTCATTTGTAATAATAATACTTGAACGTATTGAAAATTTGTAGGAAATTCGAATAAAATTTCTGTTAAAATGAAATACTTGACGGTATTTAGATCGAGAATTTTCGTCCAGAAAATTCAAGTGGCAAGTCTTATTTTCAAATAAATTTCTTGTAAAACTGAGATTTACATATATTTTGTTTATGGTTTTCTGCACTTTGGCCGCTTCTTTAAACGCTAGTTGTCCTCTTTATCCTATAGGAAAAACATTGACGAAAAGAAGTGTCAGTTTTTTTTGTATAAAAATTTTAATAAGTAAATCAGCTGACTAGATTTGAAAATTTGTGTGAAAAATAATCAACTCTGAACAAATACAAATGGCAAACACTCAAATTAATCGAACTAAAATGACATTTTATCAACTAATTATATGCCATTTTACTCTGACTTTTTTGAGTACTTGCCGTTTGTTCAGGCTACTACTATATTGGTACGTACAGTTGGGTCACAATCGGCACAAATCCAAGAGTAGCCTCGTCTTTTTGGTGTCTTTTTCAACGGAGGGTCCAAACATTGAAAATGGTAGCTCTTTTTACATTCGTCACACCTACAAAAGATGAAAATACACGATCAGACATGTTTGATTTTTTTTCTCTCTCAAATATTCGCAAGTGCATTACTTGACTAGTTCCTGCGAAGTTCCATTAGCTTGGCATACGAAGCACACTTGAATGTCATTGGTGTCATTTGAATTTGAACTGCCGACAATGGGAGTCGATGTACGTCGTGAATTTGCTTTTGGTGGACTAAGCAGGACAGATGAACGTCGTGTACGACCTGGAGACATTGTGGATTTTGTTTTGTTTGCGTCTTTTTGTGGTGTGCCAACAGGTGATGATACAGTTGATGGTGGTGGTGATTTCGATGTCTAAATTACGTAAAATAAATTTATTTTTCTTTTCTTTTTTTCTTCATTATTGCATACAAATATTATGTGAAAAATCTAATAGCATTTTACACATTTAAGAAATGATGTATAAATATTATAGTGTAAAATTGATGTTTATAAAAAGCATGAAAAGAATACGGCCAGCTCAATCATTTATATATCATATTACTTTGTTTTCGGTTCTTTTCTGGTAAGCATTTTAATAAATGCTTTAAATAAATCGATAGAAATAAACAATTGATGATTACACATGTTTAAGCGACAAAGCAAAATAGCAAATTATTTAAGGTAAAAAAGGTGATGGAACATGCATATTTATAACCAAAAAAACACCAACTATTTAAGCAAAAAAAAAAAAACAACGAGACTCTTGGAATAAACAATTTATATTCACAACTTGATATGGATACCGGTTCAAAAGTGCGACAATTCAAAATTACATTACTGCTATAAACATTATTCGAAAGGGATATACGTGGAGGTTTTGTTCATTTGCGATTTTAGTTCATTATTTCTGAATAACATTTGGCAGGTATTCATGGACTTTTTGGGATTTTTTTTCTTCAATTTTAAAAAATGTTGTGCGATGAGTCTCGTTATTTAATGAATGTGACTTGTAAATTGTACATATATCTATGGATGTATATGGGTGTTAACAATGGTCATTTGACTTTGTCAAACTTACGAATGGTGTTGAGGTAACATCGTCTATCGAATTTACCGAAGCTGGCCGTGTCTTACGAAGCTGGCCGAATCTTGGTCTTACCATATTGGCGGGAACATAAAAGAAATGTGATTCAGCTGCAGTTTCTCCGGGCAATGGTAACGCTTTGAACTGTAATAAATATATAAAAAAAAACAAACAAATTTCAATGCATTTGAATCGGCGAGGAATGCGTTCATGATTTACATACCTTTATTTTGATTTTAGGTACTCCATCAGCGAGCGGAAACGAATCTGGATTTTCACGGTCGCGACTCTTTCGTTTTCTCTTCTTTTTGTGTTCTTTTGATGATGATCGATCCGAATCAAGTCCATGTTTATTGCGATGTTTTTCTTTTCGTCGTTTTCTACTTTGTTTCCGCTCGGCTTCGGTGTCCGACATTTTTGTTGTCGTTGTATCTTCAATGTTACCATTCATAATAGTATTTGAGACAATGGGAATGTCTCCATTGACCGGTTTATCCACTGCTTGTATATGTGTTTCTCCCGTGGATACAGTTGAATCAATTGAAATGTTCATTTTATCATCACCAATGGGACATACATCAGTTGTATCAGTTGTATTACCAGCCCTGTATTCTTTAATTTTTTTACTTTCATCATTACTCAATAATTCTTCTTTAATATCGTGTTTTTTCGATGGTGATGTTATTGATTTTGAACTTTCTTTTCGTTTTGTTTTCTCCTTGACCTTGCCCTTTTCTTTGTCCTTTTCTCTATCCTTCTCTTTATCTTTATCTTTTTCTTTATCCTTATCTTTACACTTGTCTTTATCTCTCTCTTTCTCTTTTTTCGACTTTTTAATTGCCTTAATTTTTGTTTCTGACGATTTAGCCGGTGATTTTGTATCGTTCAATTTGGTTTGAACGCCATTGACTTTCATTGGCCCACTTTCAATATGATAATGATTTAATTCATTATTCGATTTATAGCTATCGTCTAAAATGCCCTTTGAAACAGCTTCAATGACTTTATCGAGATTCGTTGACAATTCGCTCAGTGACTTTTTGCATTTTATTGGACTGTTTGTAGACTCCGACTTGGTAGATTCAGCTGTAGAAATGTCACCGTCTTCCAATGTCGCCTAATTAAATGGAAAAATAAAAAATTAAATGATTTTGAAATTGTGTTTGAAAAAATGCTCAATTCAATCAATTTTACCGATTTCTTTTTCTTGGTTGGCGATTTTTCGATGTTATCCTGTTTGCTAAGCTTTTTTATTGGTGACGGTGTCGGTGATTTTGTTGTTTGAATAGAATTTTTTATGGATTGCACATTTATTTTCTCATCGTCAGCACCACTTTCGTCCATGCTGACATCACGCGATGAATCAACGGGCACTATTGTACCATCTTTGCTATATTTAGTTCGTGATTTTCTAGGACCTGATGTTAGTTGAACAACACCCTCTGGATTATCTTCATCGCACTCTGAACATTGCCATCCGTATATTTTTGATTTTTTCGGATGTCTCGTCAATGGTGGATTCAAACAACCCAAATGATAGTGTAAATGGCATGTATCACATTTTGCGAGCAAATGTTGATCATTAACTCGTTTACATATGCCACATTCGTAAACTGGTTCTGGTTTATTTTGACATTGTGTACTTAGAATTCGTGTGGTATCGTCATTTGTTCCGATGGTTAAAGGAAAACCGACGCCCATCTTAAGTGCGGCAGCAGTTGGTACTGACATTGGCCTGGATACAGGCAATGGCGTCGGATTTGTTGCCGCTTCAACTAAAACAATTATCACATTTATATTTATTAATTTGATTTCTTTTACGTTAATTGTATTATTTCAAAAGTGTCAACGACTCTTACCGTGTTGTGCCACTATATTATCTATCGATGTTAATGTTTTATTCGGACACAGAGCTGATATGGCCGAATGCAATTTTTCAATTTTCTCTGTTAGATCATTTTTCTTAGCAACGTGTTCGGCGCGAATGGCAATACACTAAAATAAAATGGAAAAATTGTTATCTCATCCCATTTACATTTTCTTCTTTTCAGGTTTCGAAGTTTGTTTATGATACCTCATCGTATTTTTCTCGAAGCGTTTGCTGTTCGCTGGTTAAAGTCTTATTCAGTTCTATTTGTTCCTGTAAATTTTTCTTAACATCCTTTGACCTTGTGATCCTATCTAAATAATATCCAATGAACTCAACACTAAATGCAGGAGGAATGTGCCACTTCTTTCGAACATCGTTTAAAGAGGCAATCTGATGATGAAACCAAAATAATTTTATTTAATTTTTAATTAAATAAATATAATTTAAGATTTATGGTTTTGGTGTTGATTCAGCTTTCAAAGGTCTCGATTATAACTTCATGAATAGCACCAATGAGCTACAATTCAAATTACACTCAACTCACACATTAAAGGTGACATTTTCTATTTGTATTAACATTCCGACATAATGACAAAATAAATTTCATTCGCGTGTGCTTATCAATATTTTCTATTTTATCTCGAAATGTGAGTATAAAATGCAATTTCCATGAGAAATATGAAAGTATTTGCGAAATAAATAACTTACTTGTGCTTCTTGAAATTCTAATGCCGCCACATCTATTCCCATTAGTTCAGCTTTTGCTAATAACCTTCGGCACGCTGAGGCGCTTGTAGTGAGTAACCGTGGCATTTTTTGGGTTGGTACTAAAATCAAATATAAAAACCACATTGAAACAACTATATGAAAAACAACAACTGAATTAACTGAAACTTACCCCATGGTTCATTCTTAATTAACTTATTGCTAATATATTTGTTTCTGTGTTTCTTGAGTTTTCGTTCGATGCGTTTCTGTTCAGGACTAGTATTTTGTTGTTTGAGCTGTTCAAAATTTACACTGCGGTAACTCATCTTTAAGCGAAGCACATCATAATTTCGTTTTCGATGTTTGATCAATGTTTTATCCGAATGAATTTTGCAATGAGCATAAAATGGATCAGCGTCTTCTGAATGTGCTTCAAACGGTTGCAATAAACCTGCTGCTTGTGCGCATGTTACATGAAAATATGTTTTACACATGCCAGCGTCACAACCAATGCAAACACCACATCGAGAATATCGGGCATCGTCACAAAGCGAACAGGTTTTTGCACCCCATTTACTATATGGCATTTCAAACAGGGTCACCGATGACAAATGATCAACTTCACCAAATGCAACACCAGGTACATATAATGCACATACAAGATGTACCCATTTGCCGACGTCAGTCTCTTTAAAAATGCCACCTTTGTTTGGGCATAGTTCACATGCCGGATCAGTTATATTGGCTTTGCATGCTTCACAAAACCATGGTTCCGTCGAGCACGATGATACCGTGCTGGACACACTGGTCGAATCACTGATGCCATAGCAGCCTTCATGAACTGATATGCCACAATTATCACATTCCACAATTTCATTTGTATCATCACTTCGATCACCTAAACATGCACAACAAATCGGTTTGACCAATATTTTCGCTTGAGATCGTTCAAATGTTTCCTTTGTAACACCTTGTTCAAGTAGTTTTGTTGTTGACATTATTTCACCTTTGGTGTCCTTTTTCCGTGCCAAATCGGCAAACCTATTGTTTTCCGATTCATCTGAGTCCGATTCCGAATCTCCATCATCACTATCATCATCGGAGTCATCATCGTTTCCGCTTTGATCATCATTTGAATTCAATGAACAATC